GATAATATAAAATATTTTCTGGAGAGTATTTTACCTGGTTATAATGAATTCGGTTTCTTAGCCAGCCATAATCAAATGCTTGAAGTTTGCCTCCATTGAATGCCTGTAAATATAAAGGGATTACAAATGTATATACAGGGTGAAGCAGCATAACTTCCTTTTTTAAAATGCACGCAATTCAGTTGGTTGAAGACGTAGTGGAGCGCTAGTGGTCTCGTTCGAGAGGCGGGAGTATAAAGTTTTGTCCTGACACAGTTCAGTCGCCATCATGCATTGGAACGGTGAGGAGCGTGCTTTTGCTGTTGAGGCCTACTTTTCAAGCAGATTTGGAGTGGCCAACCCGCTCTCCAGATTTGGCCCCTTGTGATTTTTTTTCTATGGGGTTTTTCGAAATCCCGTGTTTATGTGAACCGTCCAAAGACCCTACAAGATTTGAAGACCAAAATCCAAGAGGTAATTGCCACCATAACACCTGCTATGCTGGCAAGAGTCATGACAAACGCCAGAAATCAGTTTACTCAGTGTATGGAGAATGGAGAATGGGGGACGTCACCTACCTAATTTGATCTTCAAAACTATGTAAAACAAAACTATAGGTATGCGCCTACATTATAAATTTTTTTTCTGATTCATACAATGGGTTTTATTAAGTTTTGAAAAAAAAGTTATGCTGCCTCACTCTGTATTTAGTTTTGACTAGGAATAGAAATAGTGGATTTCAGGTGTATGCAAAGCTTCAGAGCTCCACTTCGTAATTCAGAGATTTGGAAGATTCAGAAATATGAACCTGTAAATTACTAATTGGAAAGAACCCCTCCAAAGCTTTTACAAATTGAAACACAAGCCTCCAAAAAATTTGAGAGATTTGTAAAAGATTTGTTGATTTGGAGGGAAGGAGGGGGGCCTTGTAGCCCCTTCTTACTCACTGTTAGCCCTCTCAGCATCTGTGTGTCTTACTCCAAACTTATATTTTCCAAATTCCCACTCCCTTCACAAACTTTACAACTCTTACTTTCCCCTCAGTTCTCTTAAAACAGAAACCTCATTCTTATGACGTGAGCAGAATTGTCGTTTGAGAAGACAAAGATATCTATACCAGAGTATTCAAAAAACTATGCCCTAAACTACATTTCCCAGAATTCTACGCATACCAAAAGAATCGGGCTGACCATGTTAAAGCCCCAAGGTAGGTTACTCACATGTGCTTAAATTGAAAAAAAAATATTAGAAATCAATGGGTAGACTGATTCTTCCAAAACTTCTCAGGCATGTTGTTTCACTGTGTCATAATTCAATTTTATACCTCTTATAGCAGTCTTTTTTACAACCTTGAGGGTCAGGTCCCCGGGGGGGGGGGTCATGAGAGGGTTTCAGAGATGTCAACAAAGATCACCATAAAACATACATTTCTGATGGTCTTAGGAACCTTTTTGGCAGAGAAAGCTGAAGATCTCTCTTCTTGTCCTTCTCTTCTTTTTTGGAAACAGACAGCAAATCCTCCCAGCAAAAGCCCTCCTCTGCCAGCCACTCATCCAAGGGGAGGGCTGTTCTGAGACTCTAAGCGGGTTGGGGAGAGCAAGTGTGCTCAGCGTATGGCAGTGTGGTGCACATGTGTGGGTGAGGAAGAGCATGAGAAGCTGGAGAGACCTCACAACCTCTGAGGATACCTGCCAAAGATGCAGGTGTAATGTCAGGAGAAAATGCTTCTGGAACATGGCCATACAGCCCAAAAAACTCACAGCAACCCAGTTATTCCAGTCGTGAAAGCCTTCAACAATACAATGAGTAATTGTATTAAGGTGTTATAGCAAAAAAAAACAACAACAAGATTATGGCAACAAGAATGACTGATGACTGGCAAATAGAGGGAGAAAACGTGGAGGCAGTGACAGACTTTGTGTTTCTAGGCGCAAAGATGGTTGCAGATACAGACTGCAGCCAGGAAATGAGAAGACGCTTACTTCTTGAGAGGAGAGCAGTGACTAATCTTGATAAATTAGTGAAGAGTAGAGACATCACACTGGCAACGAAGATCCACATAATAAAAGCAATGGTATTCCCCGTAGTCACCTATGGATGTGAGAGCTGGACCATAAGGAAGGCTGAGCTGGATAGATGCTTTTGAACTGTGGTGCTGGAGGAAAGTACTGAAAGTGCCTTGGTCCACAAGAAGATCCAACCAGTTCATACTTCAGGAAATAAAGCCCGACTGCTCATTGGAGGGAAGGATATTAGAGGCAAAGATGAAGTATTTTGGCCACATCATGAGAAGACAGGAAAGCTTAGAGAAGACAATGATACTGGGAAAAATGGAAGGAAAAAGGAAGAGGGGCCGACCAAGGGCAAGATGGATGGATGGCATCCTTGAAGTGACTGGCTTGGCCTTGAAGGAGTTGGGGATGGTGACGGCCGACAGGGAGCCCTGGCGTGGGCTGGTTTATGAAGTCACAAAGAGTTGGAAGTGACTGAACGAATGAAAAACGACAACAAGCATTAGGAAGTTTGAGAAACACTGTTTTATTGTTTTTAAAAAACTTATTTTAATGGGAAAAAATTAAATCTCTAGAACTCAGTAGATGAACGAATCTTTCTGAATCTTTGCAGGCTTGGTGCCCTGCTTATGTTGTCTCATTGTGCAGAAATTCAAAGGGATAACTTTTGTAGTTTGTTATTTAAAAATATTTGCAAGAAAATTAAAAATGTGCCAAAAATCAGTGGATGACGAAACATTTTGAAACTTGGCAGGCTTAAGGTCATAAATGTTGCTATAAGTGTGCCAAGATTCATCCTGAAAGCCATAAAAATGATGGAGAAACAACTACTGCAATTTTCTCCATTGCTACTAATGGAACGAATCTTAATGAAGCAATTACAAAGCTTAAGAGATTCAGATTACGAATCTGAATGGGACCCATCCAAATCTTTACTAATCAAAGCAGGGGGCATCCAAATCTCAGAAACAAATTATCAGATTTCAGCCATTTCGCGCACTTCTAGTGGATATCACCTCTCAACCTGATCCTTTCTAAAGTAACACATACCCAGCTTCCTAAAAATTTCCTCTTATGTCTTTTACTATTTTGGTTTCTTTCAGTAGAGAAGAAAGCTTCCGATGTGCTGTTGATTAGGCAGGTAACTCTGAAAAAACCATTATAAGAACGATTGAGTTAATTAGATTGAGAAATAGATAGAAAGATCAATACTGATTGAGAACTAGATAGGAAGATTGAGATACTATATTGAGCTATATAGAAGCATATTGAGGTTTAGATAGAGAAGCTATTGAGTACTATAGAGATAGATAGGTAGGTATTGAGTTATATATTGAGCATTACTTCATCTCCAAAGCTAACCTTGAGCTATAGATAGGGAAAAAATCTGCTTTTTTCTAAACCATAGCAGCTCAGGGTTAGGGTGAAAAGATCTCAGGATTCTCTTCTGCCTTTTGGGGAAAAGTTATCTCAGTAACTAAAGGAAAGGAAAGAAAGATCATCTCTATTGTTTCACCAATTGACTGTTTTGTTTGTAACTTTAACAAGCTGTGCCAAGTCTGCAAGGACTTTGAGAAATAAGTATTCTGTTTTGATGTTCAAAACCTGTAGTAGCCTCAGTTGCTGGGAATCTCAAGCTTCTAAAGAAAGACCCCCGCGGTCCGCCCAGACAAAGAGAGAAGCACAGTTTTTTAGTTTTATTTTTATACGGTCTGGGTGTGACAGCACAGTTCCTCCTCATAAAGGAGCCAGATTTTCACATCACAAATGCTTCTCTGACATAGATCTTATTTTTCCTTATTTATGTTATGTAGTTTTGAACTCACAAAAGCAATAAAGGAAAACCAAATATTAGTTCTCAAAAAACTATATTACAAATCTTAATGTTTCTGCAAAACCTACCTGTTTCCAATGGATCATATTCTGTACAGATGTTCCAGCTGGGGCATGTGCTGCATAAACATCTATTCGGCTCTGAAAGATGACATTAGTTGTATTGTTGCTTCAAAATTTTCCAAATCCAGCCTTCCGCTTCCATTTGCCTCAATTAGAATAATCTAAAGAAACGAGCCTATCCAGACATTTCTGGCTGTAGGGCCAAGAATCTACTTTTGTATAAACTTCATAGCCTTAACTAGCCTCACAAGAGACACTTATTGGTAGATATGTGACCAGATCTTGCTAAGGTCCATATATTTACATTTCTATCTTTAGGAGCTATCTCTCTCCAATCCAAGGGCAGTTCCAAACAGGGAGTTATCACAGGAGCATTCACGTTTAAAATATGTGAATGTTCCTGGGGCCCTGTCCACACACACTCAGAAAGTGTGCGTGATTTCCCTCCCCGCCCCCCTTTCACCTGGCATACCATTTGTACATGCCACGAGAACTCAGGCAGATGTCCCACAGAGGCCAGGTGAGTTATTTTCTTTTTTGACTATGTTTAAGGGACTTTTGTGGGGGTGGTATTCGCACAGTTTTCCGGGCTAATTTAGCCCAGAAAACTGTGGGAATACTGTCTGGACTGCAGTATACTTGGGGTGCATCTAGACAGCTCCTTTATTGCAGGAGTTACCACAATAAAAAGGGGGCTGTCCACATGACGTCCTGGATGAACCGGAATTAATCCGCCACAAACCAGGAAAACCCTGCTTTGTGGCAAATTGATTTGATAGTGGGTTTATTCCATGCCTTCTTGGAAGGTACGGGATAAAGCCATTGCTTCCGGTGTCTGGACTGCAGTATGTCCCGTACCTTCCAAGAAGGCATGGAATAAACCCACTATCAAATCAATTTGCCACAAAGCAGGGTTTTCCTGGTCTGTGGCGGATTAATTCCGGTTCATCCAGGACATCATCTGGACAGCCCCCTTTTTATTGTGGTAACTCCCGCAATAAAGGAGCTGTCTAGATGTACCTAAGTCAACCATTGGTTTTTAAAGAAAAGTACTGAGTTGACATGACTAGTGTGATAGGTGGAACATAGGCAAGACATGTCTTGCTATTTGGCCAATGGGGGTTGGAAATGTAGCTAAATCTAGAATACATCCAGTTTTTAAATTATACACTGTAATTAGTCTAAAGTACAGAATTAGTCTGTATTTAGTCTAAAGTACAGAAAGCCTCATCATCCTTGTCAACTCAAACATTTCATTTTTCATACAGTTCTGTGCAGTTTCTGGACATGCTTGACAACTCTAAAAGGGAAATTGTAGAGATGAAAAATATAGAAAACAACTTCCCCTATAAGAAGTAATTCTTATAATTCTCCCTTAAAGTATGTGGCCATAACAGATAAAGTAGAACTGTAATGTAATGTGCATGGATTCCTCGCTTCTCAGACCTCTTCTACACCGGCCCTATATCCCAGGATCTGATCCCATATTATTTTATTTATTTATTTATTTATTTACTGCGCTTATAGACCGCAATTCTCAGCCCAAGGGTGACTCATTGCGGTGTACAACATGGAAAACAAGTGCAAATTACAAAACATAGCGTAAAATAAACTACAATTCATCATTAATTAGAAAAACATCTTATCAAAACATCAACAATACTACAAAAGCCATTCCGAGTTGTCTCATCGTCAAACCCACAATCCGATATCATTTCCGTTGTTCCATTCCTAAGGTCAATTACAAATTATTATCTGTTTATCCCAAATTATCTCGCAGTGGAGAATAAAATAATCCAGTTAAAAACAAATAACCCGTGATCGGATCCTTGGATATAGGGCCAGTGTAGAAGGGGGCTCAGATGCATGTATTTGGCCATGCAGGAATCTGACATTACCATGAAAACAAAGATATTTTTAGGATTTCACTGATACTATTTAAGCAGTTCAGGAACAGCATATAAAAGAAATGCTCTGAATAGCATACAGAAAGAATATACACACCAGATTTAAGTTGTTTTCGTTAACTCCAGCTACTATGAACAGGAGATTTTCACAGAAAAGTGCAAGATTTTGTTGGCTGCACATTGCAGCAGCTGCTCTAGAACCAAAATATGATTTAGGCAAAAAGTCTTTGTCTCCAAACAGGAGCTGCAAAATTGAAGATATATAGTTTATGATACCAATTTTATGGACAATAATATATTCAAAGTTTTAAAAGTATAAACAACTGCAAAACACAGTGTTGAGGCTCAGCGTCCTGGCAGTGAAGCTACTACCAGGTGTAGGAGGAGAAGGAGTGATGCCGAGTTAGAGGAGGAACAGCGTCAGCTGAAACACATTCGGGAGATTATTTTGGCACCTAGTGACTCTGAGGACTTTGCAGGATTTGGACCCAAAGACTTAGAGGAATTAGATTACAGGGGAGTAAAGCGTGTTGCCAGTGAGTCTGACAGTGATGAGGAATTAATGAACAAACGGCTTAAAGATATAGCTGACAATTGCAGTTTGGATGATCAGGGATCCAGTGATGGGGAAATGGAAGAGGGGCTGGACTGGATGCGTGTTAGAGAAATTCAGGACATATGTACACAGCCCACGTCTAGCGACGAATTTGAGGGTTTCCAAGATACATGGCAGGCAGGTACGTCTTGGCAGGAGTCTGGACAGGATCAACGTTGGCAACGTTGGTGAGGTAATGAGCCAGCAGCTGAAGATAATGATCCAGGTGCAAGTGATGATAGTCAATCCAGTGATAGTGACTGCGAATAAAATGAGGGCTTTGGGATGTGTAGCTTTGCAGAGGACAAAGCGTTGTATTGGGTGTTTTGTGCTGCCTTATCTCCTGTTTGGGTCCTAGGAATACAGCTATCGTGTCTTTGTGTGCCTTGACTCTGGATTGGACTACGTGAGTGACTTCGTCTTGCCCCTTAACTACGGAACGTTCCTGACTGCGACTTCTGCCTTTCGGACCCTTCTTGCTGCCTGTCTCCGTGTTTGACCTAGGACTGTTTGACTCCGCATTTGCCAGTGATAGTTTTACTCCAGCTTTCCTTTTTGAGTGACTGAGTTCTGAGGAAATCCGGCTTTTCTTCTCCTTTGTTTACATGCTGGAAGGCCTTTTTGTTTTTCTAATTAGTACTGCAGTTTAAGTGCTATTAGCCTTGTTAAAGACCCATTAAAAACTCTGTTAACCCCTTATTTGCTGTGTTGGACAATCTTTGGGCTCTGGGTCACGACACACAGGCTATGTTTAATGTACAGCAATGGTCTCCAGTTTGAATACTGTTGCAAGGAAACTGAATTTGGATCTCTAGAGGTCTGAAAAATAACACTGAGGAAATTTCTAAATGGACAGTATAATCTAACATGGAGCCAGTTTAATGAGGACCAGTTTCACTCGTGGTGCTGGAACTAGTTTGAGATCAGGAAGATGATTACACTAACTAAGCCCTGGCCCAGCCCTATTATAAGTATTCAGCAGGCCCTCAAAATGAATAGTCCCAGGCACTATCCTGGCCATTAGTTAGGGCCTGTTCTGCATTTTACCCACTTCCCTGGCCCTATGTTTCCCCATTGGCCCAGCCCTCTCATATCTGTGTAGCAGGCCTTGGAAATAAATAACTCCAGGTCCTGCTTGCACTTTATCCACTCCCCTGGCCCTAATCTACTTTGTTGTACTAGCCGAGCCCTCCCATAGTGATCAAGGCCCTATCTGGAATCCTGGCCATTGGAAGCTGAACTTACCCGATGGAAATTAATACTGAACTGGCTTTCAATTTTAAATTGGAAACTCTGATTCAATATGCCATAGTCATTAGCCAAGGGGGTTATGATGGAATTATAGTTCTATATCCCTGGTGTTGACAACAGGGAGATGGTTTTTAGGTTAGGCAGCCATGCAAGGGCTGCATTGTTGTTGTTGTTATTGTTGCTGTCTTAAAGTGTTAGAGAAGTTTCATTTAAAAATATAAAATCAGTGAAATATCTCCAAAATAGATTAATATCGCTGACAATCTATATAAATAAAAATGTAATGTTGGTTTGTGGGATTAACATAACTCAAAAACCACTGGATGAATTGACACGAAATTTGGACACTATACACCTAACAGACCTACAAGTGACCAACACTCATAAAACCTACCCAAAAAACAGTGGAAAGGACTCAAAAACCCAAAAAAGCTAAATAACGAAAAGCTAAATGATGATACAGAAAAAGGGAAGGAAGAGGGAGGGAAAGGGAGAAAGAAAGAAAGAAAGAAAGAAAGAAAGAAAGAAAGAAAGAAGGAAGGAAAGAGGTAGAGGAGGAAGAAAGAAGGAGGAAAAGAAAAAGGGGGGAAGGAAGGAAAGAGATACAGAAGGAAGGAAGGAAGGAAGGAAGGAAGGAAGGAAGGAAGGAAGGAAGGAAAGAGGGGGAGCAAAGAAAGGAGGGAAAGAAGTAGAGAAAGAGGGAGGGATGGTTGACTCCAGCAACGCATGGCGTGTACAGCTAGTAATGAAATATTCATTGTTCCTTAAATATTATTCAGTTCATGAAAACTTACAATGTATCATTATTAACATATAGAATTCACCCCTCATATTTATGAATTCTTATACTGATGTGTATATAAACAAAAATACTTAAAGACCTTAAATTAACTTTAATGTGACTATTTCTGAGATATTCAATACTGATATTGAACGAAAAATGTTGACTGCAGTACTGATTGTTCCACTGACTACAATACATTAAGCAATTTGTCACTTGATTTAAAGGAACATCAATTCCTTCATTTCACAACGTGTGAGCAACAGATCCCATTTTGCTCAACCTGGTATAAAACAATTTCAAACCCCTTTGCTGCAACAGCAAACAGGTCCAGAATCCATCCATACCGAACGCCCTCCAACCAAAGGAACAATAGATACAGCCATACCTTGACTTGTAAATCAGTAAGTTTACCAAGTGTTGCTAGAGGAGTTCTTGCATGCTTAACTGTGGCTACAGGTGCCAAGGCAACAAATAGCTTGATTTTTGCGGCAAGCAGGGGATTTGTAGAAAAAGCTATAAAAGCTAAGAGGGAAAAGACAAACACAAAAGGTTCTTAATTTCCAAAAAGCTAATGATGTCCTTCCTTTTCCGTTTCTCTTTCCATTTCTCTTTTTTCCCCTCTTCTTTCTGCCCTTAATTTTAGGAAATTCTGAACTTGAAATGTGGTTTCAAACTCATTTCAGTCCCACCAGGCAGTCAGAACTCCTTTTCCACTCCACAGCTGCCTAAGGACTGGTGCTAAGGACCACCCAAGGCAAATCCTGAGTGCAACGCGTTGGATCAGCCCCAGCATATTGTGTCCATGTAAAATCACCCTCAACCTCTAAAATAAACTCAATGTTATTCCAATACATTTATAGTCCAATTCTATGTATGTTTACTCAGATGTAAATTTTCTTTAGTTCAATGGCATTTACCATATATTCTGGCATATAAGACTACTTTTTAACCCAAGAAAATCTTCTCAAAAGCCAGGGGTAGTCTTATACGTGGGGTTGTCTTATACACAGGAGTAGTCTTATACACGAGAGTAGTTTTATATGCTGGAGTAGTCTTATACATGGGAGTAGTCTTATACGCTGGAGTAGTCTTATACACGGGAGCAGTCTTCTATGCTGGAGTAGTCTTATATGCGGGAGTAATCTTGTGCACGGGAGTAGTCTTATACACGGGCATAGTCTTATAGAGTGGGTGCTGAAACTTCCAATCGGATTGGAGAATCTGTGGTTGCCACATATTGGGGGGGAGCTCAAAAATGGCAATGGCCATGTCCCTGCCGTATATAGCGACTGTATGAAAGCATTAAGGGCGACACTGCACAAGTACGGTAGAAGAAAATCCATTCATCAGGATTCATGGGTTTAACGCGGTCCCGATGGTGACCTGAAGGGGCCACCAGGAAGTTGTAAGTGAAGGGCAGAGCAAGCTGCAGGCATCTGGGGTGTCCAGGGTATGGAAAAAAAGAGATAGTGTTGCTCTGGGCCCAGACAAACACACCTCTTTTACCTGTCTGACCTCCTCCTCTGCCTCTCAGATCTCGCTCCTGAAGACTGCAGTGAAGCAGTGCAGGTCTCACACATGTGCGGGTCTCACACATGTGCGAGATCTGAGAGGCAGAGATGGAGGTACAGTAATAGGGTAATTACCATATTGAAATCAAATCTGATGCTTTTAAAAAAAATGTTGGTGTGCATTGGAAGAGGGGTAGTCTTATACGGCGAATATATCTCAAGCTCTATATTTTAACTGGAAAAGTTGGGGGTTGTCTTATATGCTCAGTCGTCTTATCTGCCGGAATATATGGTAATCCCTCGTAAGGGGGCAGGAAGCAACTACAGTATTTTGCAAGCAAAAAACTTATAAATTTACCCATTGTTGTTCCTTGTGAATGACCAATATAATACACTTGTTGCTGTCCAGTTTTCTGAAGAACAAAATCTATAAATGCTGGAAGGTCATATTTGGCCATGTGATCATAACTGCCAAGAAAACAAAAGTCATTAAGCCTCCTTGTGAAATAGCAAATGAAAATATTTAGTAAACCCAAAGAGTGCCATGTTCTGATGTACATGCAGCTTGCGCACACCTGTCAAAACCAGTCCTGTAAGGATTTTTTTTGCCATTGATTTTTTATTGAGAGTATAAGAAGTTTAAAAAAACCCCAGAAGAAATGGGAAATTTTCCCTTTGCATAATAAGTGGGGGAACGATATATTTAAAAAGAAAAGTAGGAAGGAAAGGGGAAGAAGAAGTAAAAATAAAAAATAAAAAGCAAATAAGAACATAAATAAAAATAGTTTATGACTTCCATCTACTCCTCAGTGTTTGGTTTTGTCTTCATAGTCTTTGAATTTTTATATTCGTTTACAATCCCCAGACTGTTGCTCAAGTGTCTCAAAAACGTCTCTTCTAATTTCTGCTTCTCCTCTACTATAGTCTTAATTCTAATTTTGATTGCTAAAAATAATCTTCTACTAGATCCCAGGTTGTCTGTTTCTTTGGTAACCCTTGATTAGGCATTATCCACTATGTTAGTCTATCCATATTCATTATTTTTAATATCGTATTTTGCCAGTCTTCTATTGTAGGCACTTCTTTAAGCCTCCAGTTTCTTGCATATACAATCCTTGCTGCTGTACACAAATAGTTTATTTTTTTCCCTTTCCAAGTCCAACATTCCTAATAGAAAATATGCAGGTTCTAATTTCATTCAAATTTTTAGTATTTTCTGAGTTTCTCAATGGATATTAATCCAACTTTTTTTTTACCTTTTCACAGGTCCACCAGGTGTGGAAAAATGTACCTATCTAGTGGTTGCATTTCCAGCACTTATTTGTGACATTTTTATAGCATTTGCATAATCTTTGAAGGGTGATGTACTATTAGTACATTTTTAGCCAGTTTTCTCTTAAATCAGATGTGTACGCGGATTTAATTTTATAATTCCATTTTTCCCCATTGATCCAATTTGATTGGGTGTCCGATATTTGTTGCCCATCTTACCATACATTATTTTTTTTTTCTCTTTCAGTGGTCCAACCCAATAGCTTTTTATAATTTTTTTGTGATAACTTTGTTCTCTGTTTTCATAATTTTATCCCAAAACAAGTCCTTGTCCGCAAAACCCAATTCTCTGTCTACTCTAAATGCTTCTATTATTTGTCTGTGTTGGAACCATAAAAGGTTCTTAAATTTCTGCTTAATTTCCTGTTCTGGTTTTAAGTCATAGGTTCCTTTATTCTTCACCAGTGTGTCCTCATAAGTTGGCCATTTTTGCCATCCAAGCTATCTTCTTTGATTTGCCTCTAAGAGCGATATCCATAGAGGTGTTTCCCTATAAAACTTTTCCTTGTATCTTTCCCGTATTTTTATGAGGGTGGCTCTTATAAAATGATTCGTAAAACTTTTTTTCTATTTTTCTTTTCCCAAACCAAGTGTATATGTGCCATCCTCTTCTTAGGTTGAATCCCTCTATTGTCAATATTTTACTTTTCTCCAGAGTAGTCTGATCTTTTCGCCATAATAGTCCACAGGCCGCAAAATATGTTCACAAATCAGGGAGGATTTCTTGTAAGGATTCCTTTGTAAACTAAATACAGAATGAACCATGGGATATTGTTCTACCATTTCTGAGAATGATGCAAATATTTTCTAGGTTCTCAGAAATCCTAGGAGTAAGTGGGAAAATGATCCCAGGTCTATGGGGCACACCTGTGTATTCTGACCCATTAATTACACACAGTGATTTGAGATACTAGGCCAGTGGTTCTCAACCTGGGATCCCCAGATATTTTTGGCCTACAATTCCCAGAAATCCTAACAGCTGGTAAACTGGCTGGGATTTCTGGGAGTTGTAGGCCAAAAACATCTGGGGACCCAAGGTTGAGAAGCACTGCACTAGGCTATGGTATTTCAATTCACCAATATGGGGCTGCCTTTGCCGAGTGCATGGAAATCAGAGGATGCTAGACCGCTGTTCAGATTACATGTTTCTTGGGGAGCATGCATTAAATAAAACCAGACTACCTGAATTCCCAATACTTTGCAAATATTGGTGAAAAAGAGGTATGTTTTTTTGACCAAGTTGTTCCTCGACTGTTTCCTAGCCAAACATCATATCCAGCATCTGCTAATATGAAAGCCAGGCTGTTATGAGGAAGATTTTGGTACCAGTTGGAAGCATCTACAAGCAAACCATGTTGAAGAAACACCACTGGCTTTGGATCTGAAAGAGAACAAGTACATGAGAATGATGTAATATTCACTAGGGCTGGGTGGTTTCGTTTCGTTAATTCGTAATTCGTTAAAAATTTTTTTTTGTTAACGAAGCGATAACGAACCATTCTGGAGCAACTTAAAAACGAAACGAATTTTTCAATTCGTTTCGTAAATGCTTCGTATTTCGTTATGTATTCGTTTCGTTATTGGTTTGAGGTCGTTTCGTTATTATTTCCGCATGTCTGGGGCAATTTTTATAGTTGTTTTTTGTTTAATTAGTGAAAAAAAATTATAATATCACACCAACAGTCAACAACAGAGGGAGAGGGAAGCTTCAGAAGTTCCCCCTGTCCCATTTGGAGGTTTTTTAGCGTATTGCGCAATCGCGTCCGCCATTAACGAATCGATTCGTTATTGTTTCGAAATTCTTTCGTAATTTCCGAAATTTCGTAAATATCGAACTTTTTAAAAGAAAAATTTCGGAATTCTTTTAAATATCGAAACGCAAAAACCCCCAAAAAACGAATTGATTTTAGAAACAAATTTTTCCGTTGTTACCCAGGCCTAATATTCACTTTTTTCATTTGTACATGAGAGAAACAAAAATTTAAAATAAGTTCAAATCTTGTCTCTAAATGAGATTACTACACTCTTTCACAGCACGTTTACACATTTTGGACACTTCTGTGAATTTTTCACGATGAATTTTTCACCAAAACAAACACTTTTAAACAAATTATGTTTCTGCACAAAAATGACTTTTTACTCAAAATACATTAGTTGTTCAAAATACTTTTTTTAGCATTAACCCTTTATCATGCATAGATTCCCCTGGAGAAGTGGCATTTGGGCTTGTGTCTTGAGCATTGGACTATGTCTCTGAAGACCAGGTTTTCTTTCCTGTTCAGCCATGGAAATACACTGTGAAAAGTCCTTCACGTCAGAGTAAATCAGAAATGACTTGAAGGTACATTACAACAACAATAAATGGAATCTCAACATTCTGTTTAAGGTTGCAGATGCAGAGTTCAATAAGCCTTGTTTCACATAAGGGTAATGTTGCCATCTAATACGAGAGCTGAATTGCATGATGAATGTGTAATTCCCCATGAGATTTATGCTATGGAATTACAATTGAGGACATGAATTTCTATATCTATATATATCATACACGTACATACAAATGGTTTTATTCTCATTTGCTCATTTGCTGTTTATTTGACCTCATTCTATGCATGTCAAGGGCATCATTACCACCGTTGACAAATATTTTGGCAAGATCTGTCTGAGGTAAAGTGTTGCAAGTAGATAAAAAACTCATATTTTTCTCTGCACTCATTTCTTTATATCTTCAGCATGTACAGTAATGAGGCATTGCCACAGTACCAGTTTCTGAAAAATAGGAGGAATAGACTGGAGACCAGAAGAGGACATGCCCAGGAACATTTTGATTTGAAATTCAATTTTGCTACACATATATTAAAACCCATTCTCTGTATCAGTGGTGGTGAACCTATGGCACGTGAGACAGAAAGGGCATGCAGTGCCCTCTTCTCCTGGCATGTGTGCCCCCTGATTCTGCCCCCCCCCCATTCACTTGGTTTGCTTGCTTGCCCCACTTGCTCGCTCGCCCACTTGCCCGCCCCCTTTGCTCGTTTGCTTGCCACCTTTGCTCACTCACCTGCTCACTCGCTCGCCACTTGTCTGCCCGATTGGCCCTCCACTTGCCACCCCCCCAGACTCCCTCTCACTCACCTTTCTCCTGTTATCCTGTTCACTTAACTGCCTCTCCACTCACTCACCCACCCACCCCCACTTGCCATCCTACTCGCCACCCCACTCCCCGCTCAATAATCCTCAAAAACTCTCTACTTGATTTGAAAAAATGCTGCACTCCCAATGCTCAGATGATGTTGACTTTTTTGGAGAGGTGGCTAGCTAGGTAGAGGAGATGGACAACATTTTCTAGCATTACAACATCAAGCTGTATTGCTGACATTACAGAGAGATTGGTTTGTGCCTTGTGGTAGAACACTTTGATTTTTAAAAACTTTTCGTGTGTTGTTTTCTTCGTATCTCTATAGTTACCCAGATTGAGCCCCAGTATTGGGAGAAATTCAAGGTAGTAATCAAGTGAATAAACATTCAGAAGTTCCTAACACAACAATGAAATAAAGATTTTTGTTCAAAAATACACTTATTTTTACATACTATAAGGTTACAAAAGAAATTCAGACAATAAGAGTAGTGTGCATACTCAGACTTTCGCTGATATCCTTTACTCTGCCGTGTGGAATTCTGAATAGAGTATTGATATAACCGTCTTCAGTCATAACCGCATACTCCTCACATGGGTACTGCCAGTATTGAATGAGTTCTTTCTAGAGAGAGAAGAAATCATGAGAAAGAAGGAAAAGAACCTGTTTAAACATCTGTACTAGAGGAAGTCCTGCAGAGCACATTCTTCTGAAAGATTTTTAATGAGTTCATAAAAAAATATTTGTAAATGCTACAGTTTCCAGAATCCAACAGCTAGGATAGCAATTGATCATTATTAGTGGTTGTTACTAAAACAGGGATAGCTTGTCGTTTTAAGATTTTAAAAAGTAACTTTTCCTAGTTCTTGACTGAGTTAACAAAAATGTCCAGCCTGGAACATTTGGTTAGGCCCCAATGAAATCGCTTCGGCTTGCACCACTCTCTTTCTCTCAACAACATCCTTTCCACCCTTCCCTTGTCATTTCTGGTGATTCGGAAGAAATGTTTCACATTACCCAAAAATGCAGAACTGAGTGTGAGGAAGAAAATCTGTCTCCTATTACCCAGATACCCCTCACCCCGCAATCCATGCGAGGTATTTTAAAAACTTATACAGGCAGTCCCTGACTTACAAACATCCTACTTACAAATGACTAATAGTTAATAATGGGGTTGGAACAGCAGGAAGTGAGAAAAATCTACCCCTAGGAAGGGAAATTCACTCCGGAAAGAGTTATCATAGAGAAAATGTGTTTTCACTGAAGTTTTCTTACCAATCCTTATTTCTACAACAAGCCAAATTTTTCAACATACAATTATCCCAATGACAGAAATGGAGGTGAAATCTTCTGAACAAAGGCACAGACAAAAAAACTCTTCCCTATGTTTATATATTTGGCTGGAGTTACACTTAAAAATGTACCTGTTCTGACTTATACACAAATTCAACTTAAGTACAAACCTACCAAACCTATCTTGTTCGTAACTTGGGGACTGGCTGTAATTTTTATGCCTCAATTTCTGGCCCTAGAAGAACTAAAGACCACATTATTTTACCGTGACAAGAAAAGAGGAGCTTGGTGCCAATGTTGCACTATGAAAATTCCACAATTATTTATTATATTAGTGTTACTTAACCAAAAAGCATGAAGTGAGTATAAGCTTTCTATACACAGATTGAAATACATTCAAAGAATATCAAGAGTATGGAGAACAAAACACAGAAGGAAAGAAGGAGCTAGGCATGTTCAGTTTGAAGAGAGAAATGGGAATAACTTTATTGCTCTTTTTAAACACTTCATGATTTTTGTACTGCTATTTCACAGTGTACGACTAGGTCTAATTGTTTGAAGGTACAGAAGAGCAGACAATCGGCTTCATCGTAAAGTCCAGGAGAAGTATCCTGCTTTTCCTAGCAACCAGGGGCAAAGACGGAGCAGCATGGTGAATCTGCCACACATGCAGCTCCCTCTCAGCTATGCTTCTCCATCATATGAGGAAAGTATCACCCTCCTCGTGAGGCCCCATGCCGGCCTCCCATGTTGGGATGAAAGCATCCAGCAATGCTTTAACCTCTGATTGGGGGCAGGTCCTCCACATGAAGTCACACAATGTATGGGCCTCCATCCCCCAGATGGGATGAAAGCATCCAAGGATGCTGATTTCACCCCATCAAATGAAGTCCTTTGATTGAACACTAGAAGGAACTTTTTGACCATAAAAACAGTTTAGCAACCAGTTGTGGTTGAGGTCTCCTTCTTCTGATATCTTTAAAAAGTTGCTAGACAGCTCCCTGCTGGGATATTTAGCTGGGTGGAAGGTTGAGTTGAGTAGATGATTGGATTAGATGTCCCATAAGGCCTCTTCTAACTTTATAATTATACAATCGTAGGCTCCTTAACTATCTAGGCTAGGTGCTTATACCCATACCACTCTTGGCTGCTCAAATGACCAGCTCAAGTCCGAGCCATCTGTCATGATGAGTAGTAACTTTTCCTTCAAACAACATGCAACATTACAGGAAACCATAATTAGCAAGAAACAATTAATGCCAGAAAACAATTTCATGAGACCTGTCTTAAGCAACTGTAATTTGAATTCCTCTCAATAACTGAATAATACATTCCCTAACAGAACTTTCTCATTATGTCAACATTCCATTAGAGAATTATCTTTTTAAAATGTTACTTACAGCATTCAGAGTGGCTTCGATATCAACCTTTGTCCCGGGAAATCCTTCAATTAACATACAGCCATAAAGCAAACTCATGAGAATCACTGCTGACCTCATCTTTGGTTTACTTGTAATAGCTGTCCAAGTGATAATCTAGGAAAAGAATTGTAAAATGACCTGCTTTACTAAATTAAGCAGATCTTTCATTAGGTCATCATATTTCTGATAAAGTCATCATAGTTCAGATAGTAAAGAACTAAGTGAGGTTCACAACACAATGAAATAACTCAAAAAAAGCACAACAATGCAGTCAGGTGCAACATCCTAGACATCATTTAATACTCTGTAGATTCTTTGTTACATACTAGATTACATACTGGTCACTTTTAGATTTAAAAAAATTACAATTTCAACCCCCCCCCCCCCCAATAAAACTATACTTCAGACTATATTTCTGTAGCCTTCTATAGGCAGAAAAATACATAATGTTTTACTCATAATACAAGATGAGATCTGCATTCTAAATATATATTTCTTCCATTATCTTTCTCACACAATCATAACTACCAGAAAAATAAATTTCTTAATAATTTGTTGGTCTATTTGTTGTAGTTCAGCGTGCTGACAGAGTTGCTACTCCTAGTAGCAGAGGGGAAAGGTCTCCTCAGGAGTCGGAGGGAGAACAGCAGCGTCAGGGCATTAGAGAAATCATCATGGCTCCAAGTGATACTGATACGTTTCCAGGCTTCTCAGATTACGAAATGGGAAATGGGGAACTGAGCAGAGGTGTAAAAAGGGCTGCTCGTGAGCCGGAGTCTGAGGGGGAATGACAAAGGAAGCGTATTCGGGAGATACTTAGTGTACCAACTGATGAGGATGACTTCCTGGGATTTGAGGGGAGTTCTGGGTCTGGAAGTGACATGGAGGGGGAGGAATTGGATTGGACCCGTGTGCAAAACATAAGGGACATCTGTAACCAGCCCACCTCTAGCGAGGAGTTTGAGGGGTTCACTGGGGACTGGCAGCCAGGTGATTCTTGGCAGGATCTGAACCCTGATAGTAAATGGCAGAGGTGGAGGGATGGGCACTCAGCTGCAGACTTGGGAGCAGGTGATATCGATGACGAGAGGGTGGGGAGCTCATCAAGCTCTGACGATGATCTTTGAGATATAAGGGGGTTCTGTTGGCACATCTAGTTGCAGGAAGCAAAGTGTCTTTATAGGACTTAATTCTTTGTGCTGCCAACTCTCATCCTTGGGCCCTGGGCTTCAGCCTCGTGTGTTCCTGAACCTCTGTTTCTCCAGCGTTTCCAGCGTTCCAGCTTTGCTTAACTTTGAATTGACCACGGACTGGTTTGACTATGCTCTGGCTTTTCTGGACTTTGTTTGCTAATATCTTTGTGACTGAAACATTTCTTAGTTTTGAAATTGTGTTTTTCATGCTCCGTTGACTGTATTTTTGCTATATCTTGATTTTTAAGCAGTTTGCTTCACTTTTTGTTTATAGCGGATTATAAGGCAGCGCTATAATCTGGATTATATTTTTGTTTATTGAAACAACTCCTTTTTGGTGCCAAATCACTCATAGGACCCTCTGCACTGCTGTTAAGTGCGGTTTTGGTCCTTTTGTTTTCAATAAAGCTGTGTTTGAACCTTTATTTTGTGACTGGCATTGTTTACAAGCATCTGGGTCTTGACAATATTAATTAATAAACTTTGATATCTCTGGGCCTAAAAGACCCAAGAATAAACATCTAATTTAAATGGATCACAACCTTTGCAGCTCATTACAAAAAAACAGTTTAAGTTGCTCTTTTATATTAGGTAATTCAATTTAGTCACTGGTAAAGATGGAAGAAGAGAAAAGGAATTAACTGGTTGGACAAGGTTGTTTCTTTGAAGTTTAAAGATGACCCAGGTTGTCCCGTAAAATTTAGTCACATTCCTATGTAAGTTAGGAGGGATGTTAATAGTTGTTTAACTACATCCTCCTGTGTATTCTTCCTTGTAAAACCTCCTTCAGGGACTTTGGAAGTTGGCCTCTGAACTGGGAGCCTACATATCTTCTCTGGGTAATATTTCACAAGATTTCCCCTACTCACTTCACACCCAGGTTTGGGTCCTCATTGTTACTCTCTAACACAGAGAAGTAGTCACCTGTATCTTACCTTTTGTGGGGGAAATCTATTTCCTATGTCTCAGCTTTGTATGTCCTTGCCACTCAAGAAACTTAAAACCTACAAAGAATAGATAATTGGTAAATTGTTTAGTATAATTATACATAGTGTAAATTATTATTTTACTGTTTCAAATTTTAAAATAATTTTATTGAACATCGCAAAATATATATATCAGAATACAAATATTTCAATTAACAAATTGATGGGGATGACAGCATAGATTAAAGCCCCTTCTACACTGCCATATAATCCAGGTTATCAAAGCAGATAATCCATAATATTTCTTTGAACTGTATTATATGAGTCTACACTGCCATATAATCCTATTCAAAGCAGATAATCTGGATTTTATATGAGAGTGTAGAAGTAGCCGTAGTCAGCAGAATCCTCATAAGGAAAATACCAGTGCTGTTAAAGAAAATGCCCGATGTAAAAACTTTGACTTTATTCCTATTAATGCAAATAGGAAATCGTAAGTCTTTTCATTGATATAACAATGCCCATATCTCAGGTTTATGAACCTCTTCACATGGGCAGTTTTTCGGTGGCAGGAACAGATTTTTATCAGTTTTACCACAGAGCCCAATAGTAATAATAATACAAAAAACAAATAATAATAATAATAATAATAATAATAATACAAAAAACAAAAAACAAAAAAACCCAAGCTAGTCAAGGTGGTCCCAGTGGTGATCAGCACACTGGGTGCAGTGCCTAAAGACCTTGGCCTGCACTTAAACACAATCGGCCCAGACAAAATTACCATCTGCCAGCTGCAGAAGGGCACCTTACTGGGATCTGCACACATTATTCACTGATATATCACACAGTCCTAGACACTTAGGAAGTGTCCAACGTGTGATCCAATGCAACAGACAGCAGAGTGATCTTGTTGCTGTGGACTCATCTTGTTCTGTTTCAAATAATAATATCAGCTAATGACCCAAAATGCAGTCGACATACCAGGTGACAGACGCATTGAAGAAAAACAACAGGAAAAACTCAACCATTATCAGGACTTCAAAATCGAACTGCAAAGGCTCTGGCATAAACCAATATAGGTGGTCCCAGTGGTCATCGGCACACTGGGTGCCATGCCAAAAGATCTCAGCTGGTATTTGGAAACAATAAACATTGACAAAATCATGATCTGTCCACTGCAAAAGGCCATCTTACTTGAATCTGCACGCATCATCCGAAAATACATCACACAGTCCTAGACGCTTGGGAAGTGTTCGACTTGTGATTTTGTGATATGAAATCCAGCATATAGATCTCATTTGCTGTGACATACTGTGTTTTTGTGTCAGTAATAATAATAATAATAATAATAATAATAATAATAATTTTAACCTGTCCTATCTCCCCGAGGAGACTTCGCAGTTTCCAGCAAAATTATACAGTGGCAACCATTCAATGACAAAACTACAAACAACAAATAATAAATCAAACCAATGGCTCCCATCTTATCCCAAAGAAGTACTTCTTGGACAGTTCTGTGGCAAAAGAAACCCCTGCCACCACCAAAAAATAGCCAGCGGTGAAAGACGGGAGGCATCCCATCTTTCCAAAGGAATCCATAGGGACAGCTGGCTTACTTCTCCCCATGTGATGAGGTAGGGAGAAGCCAGGCTAGTGTGGGGCAACAAGTCACCATGCCTCCTGGGTGGGCATCACCAAAATCACTGTGATTCATGCCAATACTTGGTGATTCCAGCAGTGTGTAAAGAGGTCATAGGTAAACTCAATACTCAGGAAGGTAAAAAGCCCAATTCGAAACTGTCAGTCTGTTAGACATTGCTACATCTGTTTGCAGTCAGACATTTCATATTACCATAAAATATATACACAACTTTTAAGTGTGAAGGCTGACAGAGCTCTAGTTTGGTCCTCAGTCTGTGAATAAGAGAAAATCCATACTACATTGTCAATAGATGCAACAATAGCCATGTAGGAAGATGTATAATGCGTTTTAAACAAAACAGCAGAGAGCATTTATATTCAACTGGGACGGTTCAAGGACTTCTACATTAGAATATCACATACCTTTAAGTCACTTAGAAGCAAAACATAAAAGTTGCAAAAGTCAATAAGCAAAGCCCGAAAAATATACTGTGAACTGTCCTGAGTCCCCTTCAGGGTTGAAAAGGGCAGTATACAAATACCGCAAATAGATAAATAGAATTCAGAGTGAAAGTATTATAGATAATGTTAAAAAAGAGAGGACTTACAGGTCTTCACTGTGGATACTTTGGAGTAATCTGCTGTTTTCGTTCATCAGACCCCTTTGGTATATAAACTCAACAGGGCTCTGTTATGGGAAAGGACAAGAAATGTCAAATGTCAGTGACACTGTCACTAGCTGATTTTAGTGATGCCTGAAAGAGACATTTACAACCTTGTTATCAAAGAAATATCAGTTTGTTCAGGTTCAGTTCTATTTTCCTCATCAATAAATGTTTATGAAAGGTTTAAAGGACATTTTCCAGAATGCTGTTTGACCTTTGGAACAATAACCATGATAAAAAGGTTACATATAGGACTGCTGATGTTTCCTAAAAGGTTGCTGACCTCACTGCCCGTGCCGTTTCCTTATCCCCCATTAAGGATATTTGTAAAAAAATTATCTAACAAAAATATCACTGGACTTAATAGGGCTTGTCTAAATGACACACCTCTCTGAAGATGTGTATAAATCACAGAGGGAAGACATTTTCAAAACTGGACTTGTTTCAAAATCACTTCCTTTTGAGGCTTTGACCCACATAAACATTTCTTCAAGGTTTTCCCCTTTTTTGATTGTGAAAAACAGTGATATATTTAACATATGTAAGTGGCTGTAAAGGTCAGGCACATACCTGAGTCATATTATTAAGCATGGAGTTAATAATTATTAAGCATGGAGTTGTTCTTCTCACCCTGGCACTAAAGAGCTATGTATCCAGAGAAGTCAATCGATGGCAAGACCAGGTGTCTTGACATAGTCAATAAAATGCTGCCACATCTGCACTTAGGAAGTATAAGAAAAATTATCCAGCTAATGTTGTAGACATTCTCCAGTCTGTCCTTCCTGGGGTAACCACGCAACGAGAGCTACACATTTATGAACAACCAGTGATGTACTCGGGGTACATTTCTAACTTGCTTTTGTTAAGAAAGAATGAAGGAATAATGGTTCTCAGACATCAGATTTTTCATAATCTAGTCTTTTTTAAAGTCTCCAGATCCTGTCTTATCTAAGTAGCCCTGGTTTGCACTTGGATGGTTACTAGGGCTGGGCGGTTTCGTTTCGTTAATTCGTAATTCGTTAATAATTCGTTAATTTTTTTCAATTACAAAACGATAACGAACCATTCTGGAGCAATTTTTTAAAAAAACGAATTTTTAAACACGTTTTGTAAATGCTTCGTATTTCGTTATTGTATTCGTTTCGTTATTGTTCTGAGGTTGTTTCGTTATTATTTCCGCATGTCTGGGGCAAGTTTTTTGTTTAATTAGTGAAAAAAAATATAATATCACACCAACAGTCAACAACAGAGGGAGAGGGAAGCTTCAGAAGTTTTTGGAGGTTTTTTAGCGTATTTCGCGGTCGCGTCCGCCATTAACGAATCGATTCGTTATTGTTTCGGAAATCGATTCGTTAATATTTTGTAATTTTTTTTCACATTTACGAAATTTCGTAAATATCGAACTTTTTAAAAGGAAAATTTTGTAATTATTTTAAATAACGAAATGCAAAAAAACCCCAAAAAACGAATCGATTTTAGAAACAAATTTTTCCGTTGTTACCCAGGCCTAATGGTTACTACTTTAACAAATAACCAGTGCTGTTGTTAGGGACCTAGGGGTGTCCCTTCCATTTGTCTAGTTCTATTGTGAAAGTATGGGTGTTCTGGTACAGCTGTACCAGGAGCTCCAATTTTGTTTGCTTTGCATTGAATGTTTGTTTGCAGTCCTAAGTTTCAGAGACTCTGCAGATAGGTGGCTTCTTTTGGTTGCAGTTATAGGGCAAGCCACCTGTCCATCATCATTGAGTTTGGTCCCACCCCTTGCTCAGGGCAATTGGGAAGGGAAGGGGGCCATTTTTCAATTAGTCTCAGCTAGGAAGTCAATGTACAGGACGTGTACAGACTTTCTCCTGTACAAAAGCTTCAACCCTTAAGACTTCCCGGGGGAGAACAGTCTTAAGAGCATCTAAAGATTCCCAAAGGTTCCCAGGGAAACAGCCTTACAGCCCTGAGGAATTTCGGAGGGAATAACAGCTTTAAACATCAAGAACTCCAGCTAAGTGACTACAGGCCTACTGGTAGGTCCACTCGGTTTTGAGACGCAGTTCAGCCCGGTAGTGGATCCACACCAGTTAGGTTTAGGTTCACAGTTAGCCTGGGAGAAGTTTGGAAAGGGATTTGCCTTTAAAGTAAAGCAAAGAAACAGTTAGAAGCCACCAGTTGCTTGAAGCCTGGAAGCATTTGTTTAACCTTTGAAGACAAAAGAAGTTTCTGTTTGATTGTTCATCAATAAAGACTTTGTTGTATTTAAGCTCAAGCCCTCTAAAGACTGTTTATGGGGGGAAAATCTCTAAAGCTTCTCTTCGGGGGGCCTGGCTTCCCGTTGGGCTCAAGTTGCACTTTCTGTTTTAACAGCAATTCATTTTAAGCCCAGCGGCGACAGAACAATGGATATTATGAAGGCAAAACCTACTTGTGCAGTAAAAACAATTTTGTAATTGAAAAAAGTTTTATGTCTCTTATAACCTTTCCCATTTTTCCTGTATGACAACTGAAGTGGGTATGCACATCATCTGTCTGAATTTAATAGTATTCAGACCTTCTGGGACTTGTAAAAGAAGTATTGGGGGGGGGGGGGCGATGGCTCCACTCCCTGCCCTTTTTCTCTTATAACCAATCTTTGTTCAACAAAACTGGTCTTCAGCCAAAACTGATCTTTCAGATCAGGTCTGCTCAAGTAAACTTCATCTTCCTAACTTTCTTTCTCTCTTCCCTTTTTCTGTCCACACATCTTCAGGCTACATACTAGTTTGTTTGCACTGAGCCTCGTCACCTTGGCTCCAGATTGCTCAGAGCAAACTCCAGACTAAGTCTTACAATGACGTATCTTTTGCAAGACTGTGAATGGGATCTAGGGTGAGATCTATTCACGTGAGACCTACAGGCATATAAGGGCCTGCACACACACACTTATTATGCCTTCCCCCTATAGCTACATTTCTGGAGAATGACAAAACCTTGGTAGCACACTGTGGGTTTTCTTGTACTTGTGAAATTGTAACTTCTTCTAGTAGACCAGTGGATCTTAGCCTTCCAAATCCCATGAACCCTTAATACATTTCCTCATGTTGTGGCGACCCCCAGCCATATTTTTTTGTTTCTACTGCATAACTGTATTTTTGCTACTGTTATTAATTGTAATGTAAATATCTGATATGCAGGATGTATTTTCATTCACTGGAACAAATTTGGCACAAATACCCAATACCTAATATGTCCAAATGTGAATACTGGTGGGGGGAATTGATTTTGTCATTTGGGAGTTGCAGTTGCTGGGATTTATAGTTCACCTACAATCATATTACACCGATTCTACAACAACTGCATCTCTTACAAGATACTGATCCTGACATTTAGAGCTCAAAATGGCCAAGGACCTTTATATCTTAGGGACCGCCTCATTCCTTTTTCCCATCAGTGGTTACCTTGATCCGCCCAAGAAAATCTCCTATACATACCAGGCCCTAGGGAGGTACACCTGGAAGCTACACGGCGTAGAGCTTTTTCGATCTATGCTCCAATTCTGTGGAACTCATTGCCTCCATATATTAGAGCAATGTCAGAGTTGCAACCTTTTGTAAAGGTGCTCAAGACTTGGCTGTTTGGTTGTGCATTTAAGTAAAGTGATCAGATCTAATTTGCCAAATAGTCACTGTTGTATGTTTTTATGTTGAATGTTTTTATATTGTGTAAATGCTATTTTAAATTGTAAGTCGCTCGGAGCACCTTGGTGGAGAGCGACTACTTAAGAAATAAAGTGAAGTGAAAGAGGATTCTGAACTCCACCAATGATGGGACTGAACCAAGCTTGGCATACAGAACTTCAATGACCAACAGAAAATACTGGAAGGGTTTGGTGGGCATTGATCTTGAGTTTTGGAGTTGTAGTTCACCTACATCCAGAAAGCACTGTAGACTCAAACAATGATGGATCTGGACCAAACTTGGCACAAATACTCAACATGTCCCAATATGAACACTGGTGGAGTTTGGGGGAAATAGACCTTGACATTTGGGAGTTGTCATTGCTGGGATTTATAGTTCGCCTACAATCAAAGAGCGCTCTGAACCCCACCAAGGATAGAATTGGGCTAAACTTCCCATACAGACCCCCCCCTAAACCAACAGAAAATACTTTGTTTTCTGGTGGCCTTTGGCAACCCCACTGACATCTCCCTCGTGACCCTCCCAGGGGTCCCAACCACCAGATTGAGAAACGTTGTAGTAGACTAATATATACATTAGAACAACTTGAACTGGCATTCATTGCTCTATGGACTTAGAATGAATGGGGTTTTCGATCATAATTTTAGAAAGTATTCAGAAAGTTTATTTAAAAATACAGACAAAAAAGCCACATGAACTCTTTATTTGAAGTAATAAACATGATTAGGGATTCTTCTCTAACAATGCAATGATGGGATAATACATTTTTTCAGATGCATCCATACCAAACACAAAATCCAGATGGTTCCATTCAGGAAAATGCTGGTGGAAGATTAGTTTCTTGATTTTGGGGATTAGGGTAGCAACATCAGAAGGGCCAGAAAGCCAATCCTTTCCACCGCTCCAAAGGGCAGTTGGCACATTCATGTCTGTTATATTGTATTCAGGTGGTGTAGCCTTACAAAATAAATAAAAATAGGGGAAAGTCAATGAACAAAATTTGCTAACAAAGAAACAGTAAGCCTCAAATATTATTCAGACTTCTGTTCCTTAGACATTGATAAATAAAGTTTATTAATAGTAAACTGAAACAAAATCTGGCTACTATAGCAGATAGTGATCTCTTTATCAGTTCATCAAACAGTGTTACACCTATTACACCTATTATTGAAAATTGTAAATTAAGTAAACAATAATATAATCAATGTTCTTGATTTTTTTAAGTAATGCAAAACTTTAAGGTTTTTGACTAAATGGATGGCTACTGCCTTGTCAGAGTAAAACTTGATGTTTCCTATATGAGGAATCTACATGCCGTTCTTATCTATTGCATTTGTTTTCGGTCTGATCTTTCCAATACACCATCTATTCAGAAAATCCAGATGGAGCAAAAGATATCTGATATCTACCTCCTACATTTTCCTAGAAGGGCAACATGCAGCCCTCTCAGTATTGCTGGACTGCTAGTTCCGTGAGCTTTTATTACAGTCTATGGCTATGCTCTCAAAAGGTCCTGAGGCTGGATCCACACTGTCCTATAGGACAAGGAACAATGGCTTCAAACTACAAGAAAGGAGATTCCATCTGAACATGAGGAAGAACTTCCTGACTGTGAGAGCTGTTCAGCAATGGAACTCTCTGCCCCGGAGTGTGGTGGAGGTTCCTTCTTTGGAAGCTTTTAAACAGAGGCTGGATGGCCATCTGTCAGGGGTGATTTGAATGCAATATTCCTGCTTCTTGGCAAGGGGTTGGACTGGATGGCCCATGAGGTCTCTTCCAACTCTTTGATTCTATGATTCTGTATCCCAGCATCTGATCCCAGATTATCTGGCAGTGGATACTGAAATAATCCAGTTCAAAACAGAAAATCTGGGATCAGATCCTGGGAGATAGGGCAGTGGAGATCCAGCCTAAAAGTACTCCATTAGACTGAGAAAATGTAAGTTTTTTATTCCTGTGAAATGTTTTACCTGGTGGTAATGAATTTGATTTTCTCGGTATCCATAATTAAAAGCTTGAAGTTTACCTCCATGGACTGCCTGCAAATGCAAAGGAATCACAAGCATATATGCATTTCTTACTATGAGTGGAAAGTATAGGAAAGATATGAAATATGACAGCAAAACATTGTATTTTTTCTATTCCTTTCATAGTAAAATTAATCGTTCCGTTCAGTTTTAAAGAGATAAAGAGATAAAGAATGAATGCTCTTTGGTCTATATTTTCACTTAGATATATGTGGATTGTGCTCTTTCATATTATTTTGAAGACAGAGAACATCTCCAGTTCATGAAGTGGGCTCTGTCATTACAAATATTAGGAAGGTTCAACCCTGAGTTGAACCTTCCTAACCCTAATTACCTCTCAACAAAAGTTTGCTCCACCTAGCTCCAGCAGGCAAGAGTCCTTTGTCTCACCCTGGTCATTCCACAGATATATTCCAACAGACCTCTGAGGATGCTTGCCATAGATGCAGGCAAAACGTCAGGAGAGAATGCCTCTAGACCATGGTCATACAGCCCGAAAAAACCTACAACAACCCTGAGTAGTTGGATTTCCATGTCCCATGGAAATCCATGAAGAATTTCATGCTCAGCCTGTGAACACTACTGGAGCAAAGAAGGCATGCTACCTTCAGAAGCCAGCTTGGATTTAAGGCCCTGATGGTACCTTTTATAGTCATTAACAGGCACTAAAGGGGACAGACATATTTTTTAATAGGTAGCAGAAGTTCCAATTAGAAGAGAATTCCAGGGCCATTTGTTTTTAGGAGAGAGAAGAGACAGTGTGCATCTCTCTGTTTGTCTGCACTCACTTTTAGCTTCATAATTTCCAGTTTGAAGGGGCTTCAGGAGAATCGGTTTTTCAACAGGCTGATGATTTAGGACCACTGAATAAATCATCACTTTCTAGCTGGTTCCTTGAAAAAGGAAACTTTATTATTTGCCATGTATGCATAGATTATGCATACAACAAGACTGGCAAATAGAGGGAGAAAATGTGGAGGCAGTGACAGACTTTGTATTTCTAGGTGCAAAGATTACTGCAGATGCAGACTGCAGCCAGGAAATCAGAATACGTTTATTTCTTGGGAGGAGAGCAATGACCAATCTCGATAAAATAGTGAAGAGTAGAGACATCACACTGGCAACCAAGATCCACATAGTTAAAGCAATGGTATTCTCCGTAGTAACCTATGGATGTGAGAGCTGGACCATAGGGAAGGCTGAGTGAAGGAAGATAGACGCTTGTGAACTGTGGTGTTGGAGGAAAGTTCTGAGAGTGCCTTGGACCGCCAGAAGATCCAACCAGTCCATACTTCAGGAAATAAAGCCCGACTGCTCATTGGAGGGAATGATATTAGAGGCAAAGATGAAGTACTTTGGCCACATAATGAGAAGACAGGAAAGCTTAGAGAAGACAATTATGCTGGGGGAAATGGAAGGAAAAAGGAAGAGGGGCCGACCAAGGGCAAGATGGATGGATGGTATCCTTGAAGTGACTGGCTTGACATTGAAGTAGCTGGGGGTGTTGATAGCTGACAGGGGGCTCTGGTGTGGGCTGGTCCATTAGGTCACGAAGAGCCAGAAGCGACTGAACAAATAAATAACAACAACATGCATAGAGTAATGGGGAGTCACAGGGTGAAGATAAACATGTGCTTCTTGGCCTAACAAGTTATTTGCATGCAGTGCATTGTAAATTAAGCTTCCTTCCTTTAGAGTTTATTTGGAACCAATATTGTCCAGAGGAGGGTGACTAAAATGATCAAGGGTCTGGAGAACAAGCCCTATGAGACGCGGCTTAAAGAGCTGGGCATGTTTAGCCTGCAGAAGAGAAGGCTGAGAGGAGACATGATGGCCATGTATAAATATGTGAGGGGAATTCATAGGCAGGAGAGAGCAAGCTTGTTTTCTGCTGCCCTGAAGACTAGGATGCAGAACAATGGCTTCACACCACAAGAAAGGACATTCCACCTAGACATTAGGAAGAACTTCCTAACTGTGAGAGCTGTTCAACAGTGGAACTCTCTGCCCTGGAGCGTGGTGGAGGCTCCTTCTTTGGAGGCTTTTAAGCAGAGGCTGGATTGTCATCTCTCGGGGATGCTTTGAATGCGAGTTTCCTGCTTCTTGGCAGGGGGTTGGACTGGATGGCCCATGAGATCTCTTCCAACTCTATGATTCTATGAGGAATTCTTAGTGGCAAGAGGTTTTCGAAATCAATACGGTAAAGTTTACTACTAGATGTTATCATTGTTTGTGTCTCTGTACTAAATGTGTGGTTTTATTCACATTTTAAGACATTTTTAATGAAAAAGTCATTTGCGTTGAAATTCAGTTTATGTTGCAAGAATTGTATTCGTTCCTGTTGTGGAAGAACATTTTTAAAAACAAAAAACAGCATATTTTGAGCAAAAAACACTTCTTGTGAAAAACCAAAAACAACGTGGAATTGATTGTTTTTCACAAAACCGGCTCAATTTTCAAGATAATAAAGGTTTTCATACATTTGTCTATGACCTTTCACATTTTGGATAATGGTATTAAGAAATATGCAAAAATTCTTGCCTGCAAGCATAAAAAACTGGTTATTTACATCTCCAGAAGGAAGTGGTTTTAAAACTACTTAAACTGTGAAATGAAATTATGTACAATTGGCTAATTTGACCAGTTGCGCGAAGTCAAGGTGGCTTTGCAATTTTGTTTCCTAAACAGCACTTCAACCTTTTGCCGTTCTTCCTTCTCAATTGCAAATGTCGAAATATTTTTGAAACCTAGGAGAGTTGTAAAATTAGAACTGTTTGAGGAAACTGGTATCTGGGTATCAGCTTGTACCTTTTTTTGCTCATTTGCTATCATATAAACAAGAATCCTCTAAAACTGATTGAGAATGAATTTCCCATACATTTTATACCATTTTAAAAGACATACAAGCAACAAAGGAACTGTAATAATTAGTGGAAAAGAAAAGTCCATATTGCGATTAATTTTTTTAAAAAAATTATGCATTATGTCTCTGTGTAACGCACCTGTTTCCAATGGATAATATTTTGAACAGATGTGCTAGCTGGGGCATGCGATACATACACATCTACTCGGCTCTGAAAAATGAAATTACTTTTTAGTTGTTTTGTTCTTTCACAATTGTCACAAATATAGTATTCACTTTCTTTTTGTTGTATTAGAACCACTCTCCCATAAAGAAAAAATGTTACCCATGTACAGGCAGTCCCCGAGTTACAGACGTCCAACTTGCATGTAATTTCTTTCTGGTCTGTCTGTCTCTGTATTGACTTTCAAAACCAGAATTGAATGGTTGCCATGTATGTGTACTATGATCTGCCCTGAGTCCCCATGGGGAGATAGGGCGGAATATACGAGGGTTGAATGAAAAGTAATGCCTCCACCTTCATTGCTTGGGTTTGGATGGGAATATTTTAATAAATAAAACACAGAAATAATCCTTAGAATGTCTTTAACTACCACTATTCACTTTTCCACATAATCACCAGACAATTGGATACATTTCTGCCAACAATGAACAAGTTTTCTGAAACTGTCATGGAAGAAGTTGACACTGTTTCTGCAACCAGCATCTCCCAGTTCTTTCAACATCTTCATCAGATGCATAATGATGTCCCCGCAGATCTTCTTTCATTATCGGGAACAGATGGAATTCAGACGATGCTAAATATGGACTGTATGGAGGATGCTGTACGGTGATGAGATCCAGTCCCTGAAGTTCTACTGTGTAGCCATTGTGCACAGATCTTCCGATAGCCAAGCAAAGCAATAATGTGACCCACACATTCTTGTGAAATGCTGATTATGCTTGAAATTTCTCTCTGAGTGATACGATGATCATCCTGAATCAATCTGTCAACCTTTTGCTTGTGAAACTCAGTGGTTGCTGTCACAGGACGTCCAACTCTTTGTTCATCATGCAAGTCAGATGTTCCCACCTCAACATCTTTAAACTTACTCGCCCAATGACGCACAGTACTCACATCAACACAATCACCATAAACAGCTTGCATTCTCTGATGAATCTCCTTTGGGGTGACACCTTCTGCTGTCAAGAATTCAATGACTGCACATTGCTTAAGTCGCATTGACCGACCATCTGCGCAGGGTTCCATACTTCACACTTTAACAACACAACCATTCAATGCTAAAGCTTTCCACCAAAATGGAACTGTAGAGGAGAGTCTACTGAACAAGCCAGTACCAGCTGCATACCAGTACTGCCATCTGTTGAGGAGTTATGAAGTGGAGGCATTACATTTCATCCAACCCTTGTAAATAAAGTGTTGTTGTTGTTGTTGTTGTTGTTACAAGTAGGTGTGAGACAACAAGAAATGAGAGGAAATTTACCGCTAGAAAAAGAAATGGTCAGTGTAGCTGGGCCCACAGAGAAAATTCTTACCATCGCATTCATGACACTAAGAAGACAGGGGTAGCAGGAGAGAAACCATACACTCTATAACACTATGTAACAAAATTTGAAATATGTTCTATTCCTGGTTTGAAAGTATTATTTCCTGTTTAATTGTGGGGTACTTAGTTTGAAAGTAGTTCTTATCCTCCAGAAACTTTGTTTTTGTGTGACACAGACTATGTTGAATTAGTTGAGACTCAATGAGATATTCATTGAAAAGCTATGGAAAAATGTGCTGCAGGGTGTCCCACAAAAACAAAGTTTTTGCAGTTGTTCCATGTTTTTTATGATAGAACCAATTAGAAAATAACATTTATAACCCAGGAACAAAAATGATGTTACATAGTATAATTAAAGAATTAAACTCATTAGTAAATTTCAGTGATGGTGGCCACTGGATAAGAGGGATTAGACAATCCCCAAAGGGGAGACAAATATATCAGAGCCCACTAGTCATGTTGACCATTGTTGTTCAGAATGTCCCCAGTTGCCAGTCAGCAAGAAAGGATGGCTCAATTGTTGTTGTTGTGTTATTGTTGTGAGCTTACAAAACTAGTTGGCTATTGTGGGCTTCCACCAAAACAAAGATATTTTGAAGGATTTCATTGACAACAGTTAAGTAGTTCATAAAGAACATGTGTATAGAATAAATAAAATGATAATAGGAAGACTGTACCCACCATATTTAAGTTGTTCTCATTGAATCCACACAATATGAACAAGAGGTTGCTACATATGGATACAAGTGCATTTCGGCTACAAAATCCAGCAGCAGCTGTGGAACGAAAATAGCTTTTCGGCAAAAATTCTTTAGCTCCAAACAGCTCCTGCAAAATTTTAGATAGAAACCAATTCTTATTCCAGTTCTACAAGCCTCCAAAATTGAAAAATTGCTAATTACAAAAGACAGTGAAAATCTCAAATTTCAGTAAAGCATTACTTAAATCTATGCAAGATCTATTTAACCAGATGGGCAATCCAGATGAGCCTTGGGCTTTAGGCAAGAACGGCCAATTATTCAACCTGCTTCACCCCGAAATTAGAAATGAGATGCTCCACAAGACAGCCCGGAGGGAAACCCCAGAGATTCCCTCAAAATCTCACCTCTGGACCCCTGAAGACCTGCTCTTTTTAAAAGATCAGCCACTAAAGCATTTCCCAAATGGTGCCATGCTATTGTTGAAGGCTTTCATGGCTGGAATCACTGGGTTGTTGTAGGTGTTTTGGGCTATATGGCCATGTTCTAGAAGCATTTTCTCCTGGCGTTTCACCTGCATCTATGGCAAGCATCCTCAGAGGTTGTGAGGTCACAACCTTTGAGGGTGCTTGACATAGATGCAGGTGAAACGTCAGGTGTGCCGTCGCGCTTGGGGGCTATTTTTCTTAATGAAAGAGGGATGGACGTGGCATCTTTCCCTCAAGGGATTGCTTCTTGCCCTCCTATAGGAACCTGGAACTCTCAAAAACCCAAAGCGCTGTAAATAACTCAAAATAAGTTTTTATTAATCACAAAGAGTTATTTCTTAAAGCAGTGAGCTGGAAACTTCAGAGGGGAGAAGGAAAATATATGTTACAGTCTCAATTAGTCCTGGATTCAAGGTGTTTGAAGCTGAGAAGTCTCACCAAATTTCCTCTTTCCTCAATGGCTGTGAATGCCATAGCAAACCACAACCCCAGTTCAGATGGCCTATGTTTTGAAGACTCAGGATCTTCCTTTGGTGCCAAAAGAACCAGTTTGAAGGTGCTTGGGTCTCCTCAATATTGTCCAGGATGATCTAGACATAAAGCATGAGTCCCAAGGGTAAAAAACCTCAGAGTTGGTGCTAAGAGGTAACTTAAATCAGGGTCCTTTAGAGTCAAGTCTTTTACTCACGTCCATATGGTAGGAACTCTGATGGCAGAATGAAAAAGAAAGGAAGCACTCCCCTCCTGCAGGAAGAGGTGGAATCAAACAGTACTGATTGACAGCTATTAGTAACCAATCCATACAACTATACATAAGCAGGGTAAAACGGGCAGGATTAAGCATGATACAACAGTTTAAATCTTGCAACTAACAGTTCTATACATAGGTGGCGCCACTCACACCGTCACATCGGGAGAGAATGTTTCTAGAACATGGCCATATAGCTCGAAAAACCTACAACAACCTGGCGTCATGCTGTTCACTTATGCACATAAATCTCAACTCTGTTCCCTTCTTATGCCTTGGAAGGGGACTAGAGAAAGTGACAGTAGAATCCTTCTCTCTCTCTACCTGCTAAAGCTGTCAACGTACCCCATATTTTCCTTCTTACTATCTTGAGTTAAAGGGATGGGGGAGAACATAGAAGCCATATCCCACTATCCAGATTAGCTGTGGTCCAGAGGCCTGACCTGCTTAGAGAGCTATACCTGCTACACTTAAAACTATTTCCATTTTTCAGCTAAGACATTTTTACGCAACCCCAGGTATATAAGTACTGTATATACTCGAGTATAAGCCTAGTTTTTCAGTACTTTTTTTAGGCTGAAAAAGTCTCCCTCGGCTTATACTCGAGTCAAGGTTTTTTATTATTTTACTCTATTATTTTTATTATTTTTATTATTACATTAATCATTTTACTCTATTGTTATTATTGCATTTATTATTTTATTCTTTATTATTGTTATTATTACATTTATTATTTTACTCTATTATTATTGGAAGGATATGTAAACACATTTACATTGAAGAAGGTTAGAATAATGCTTTGAAAACAAATCTGTGCACTAATAAGATGGATGTGCTTGTTTATTTTTACATAAAAATAAATAAAGAATTACATCTTGGCTGAATATTTTATACTGCAAGACATAGAGCATCATCACAATTTTAATTTGTGCTTGAATGTTTGCTTTGCAACATCAAGTGGCAGAACATATTCTGTTGGCGCTCCTTTTTTCTCCTGGATTCATGTCAATGTCTAAAACAGCCACTAGGTGGCAAGCTACCAGCATTTTTCATGACCCCCTAATAGAGTAGGGCAGTGGTTCTCAACCTGTGGGTCACCAGGTGTTTTGGCCTACAACTCTCAGAAATCCCAGCCATTTTACCAGCTGTTAGGATTTCTGGGAGTTGAAGGTTAAAACAACTGGGGACCCACAGGTTGAGAACCACTGCAGTAGCGGGTTCCAAATAACGTCACAAGCCACAGTTTAAGAAACTTTGATCTGGTATAACTTCTTTCCTATTGCTAACAAGCAAAGATCTTTATACTTGGCATCTTGTTGCATGTAATTTATGTACCAGAAAGCATTTTTAATGGGGCTGTTCATTTTTAGACTATGTCCTCCAATTTTATATAATTTTAATCTGTTTTTTTAATCAAAATATCCCTGTAGTTAATTATAAAATAGAGTTGTGTGATCCAGTAAAACATGGTTCAAAGGCCATTCCAAAACTGGGCATGCTCATAATTAAATTACTAGAATTGGGGAAACTTCAGGAGCTCCCTCAAATTTAATGCTATTGAGTTGAAATGTGCTAGAATGGTGGAACACATTTACCACTGTTAGCCCACCAAATTTCAGAACATTTTGCTTATCCACAAATTTTTGGTGAGTTTTCAATTTTTTTGTAAAAACATTTTTAATATTAAAAAAGAAAATATGTTCCTACTTTGAAAGTGTTCTTTCCTGTTTAATAATATGGTCTTTGAAGTAGTTCAAAGTAAAGAACTGATTTGGTGTCTTTTCATGCTGGTGCAGTCTGAGAAATTGAGTTTAGGGCAGGGTCTTTTGAATTCTCTGGCAAAGGGTTCCTCCCTTCCTAAACTATATTTACCAGAGTTCTGTTCTGTTGCCAAAATGCACTGCACCCTCTTTTGCCTTCTGCTAATGCTGAGACTACATTAATTTCACAGAGGAATAGCAAGGAACTAAGACAGCCTTTGGATTTGCTTCCTTGCCTTGCATTGAATATGAAGCGGACTTTGGGAGCCTTCTGAGATTTACAAAACGAAAATGAAAAAGTATGGGGTACGTTTCAATTCAAAAATATTTGGTGTGCGCCATGCAAATGCTTCAAATATGGCTTCTGATTTACAAAACTTCCAATTTGCTTACAATTTCTGAAACTTCCAAATTTTTTGCACATGCCTAATCAACATTTCCCCCTGTAAACCCACCTTGCATGCATTATAGGCTAAAACTCTACACTTATTCATAATTATTGGGTTATAGTCTGGTATGGGAAGAAGTCTGTGGGACTGATATACAATCCTAGTGATGCCACTGGCTGTCATTTAATTTTTAAAAACCTTTGTGTAAATATATTTTTAAACTATACCCTGTCTTTGGGCTTCTAAGGCACTTTGGGTTATATATAAAGAGAAAGACAAGATTAAATATTTAAATGAAAACTCAATGCTGTATAAAGCCAGTCATTTACAATTATTTCATTCTGAGGCCCAGCCCTGCTTCCTTCTCCCAGATTCTCCTGTCATCATCACTCGGCTCCAAAATTAGTCATAAGCAAAGACACCATAAATATATACATACCTTGATTTGAAAATCGGGAAGTATGGAAAGCTTTGTTAAAGGCGTTTTTGCATGCTTAACTGTGGCAACAGGTGCTAGGGCAAAAAATATCTTGATTTTGGCAGCCAATTGAGGATTGGTAGAAAAAGCTATAAAAGCTAAGGGAAAGAAAAAGAAACTTTCTTTAATTTCAAAGAAAAGCATGGTGTTAGGTCTTTGGGGAAATCTAATAAGGTGGTCTGTTTATTTTTTACTTTAATAAAATGATAATTTATTTTCTCTAAAAACTAAAGCACACATGCCAATTTCAAACTAACATATTTTCATAGTATGGGAGTCACTCTGGACCGTGCTCTTACCTACAAGAAGCACTGCCTGAACATCAAGCAAAAAGTGGGTGCTAGAAACAATATCATACGAAAGCTGACTGGCACAACCTGGGGATCACAACCAGACACAGTGAAGACATCTGCCCTTGCGCTGTGCTACTCTGCTGCTGAGTACGCATGCCCAGTGTGGAACACATCTCACCACGCTAAAACAGTGGATGTGGCTCTTAATGAGACATGCCGCATTATCACGGGGTGTCTGCGCCCTACACCACTGGAGAAATTACACTGCTTAGCCGGTATTGCACCACCTGACATCCGCCGGGAAGTAGCAGCCAATAGTGAAAAGGACCAAGGCAGTGACATCTCCAGCTCATCCCTTGTTTGGGTATCAGCCAGCACGTCAACGACTTAAATCAAGAAAGAGTTTTCTAAGATCTACAGAGACACTCGCTGGAACACCTCAGCAAGCGAGAGTCCAAAAGTGGCAGGCTCAAACCCAGAACCTCAACCAATGGCTGATACCAAATGAGAGACTCCCCCCTGGGCACACAGAGACTGGGCGACTTGGAAGGCGCTGAACAGACTGCCTCTGGCACCACGAGATGCAGAGCCAACTCAAGAAATGGGGCTACAAAGTGGAATCCACGACATGCGAGTGTGGAGAAGAGCAAACCACAGACCACCTGCTGCGATGCACCCTGAGCCCTGCTACATGCACAATGGAGGACCTTCTTGCAGCAACACCAGAAGCACTCCAAGTGGCCAGATACTGGTCAAAGGACATTTAATCAACTACCAAGCTTGTTTTGTCTGTTTGTTTGTTTGTTTTGTTCTGTTAGAAATGTAATACAATTGACTGGTTGCCCTGACACGACAAATAAATAAATAGTATGAATATACTGAAATCCAAATAAACCATACTCAAAATCTTGTTCATAGTAAAGGTAAAGGTTTTCCCCTGACATGAAGTCCAGTCGTGTCCGAATCTGGGGTGTGGTGCTCATCTCCATTTCTAAGCCTAAGAGCTGGCGTTGTCCATAAACACCTCCAAGGTCATGTGGCCGGCATGACTGCATGAAGTGCCGTTACCTTCCTGCCGGAGTGGTACCTATTGATCTACCCACATTTTCATATTTTCAAACTGCTAGGTTGGCAGAAGCTGGGGCTGACAGCGGAAGCTCACGTTGCTCCCCGGATTCGAACCTGCGACCTTTTGGCTAACAAGCTCAACAGCTCAGTGTTTTAACCCACTGCACCACCGGGGGCTCATAGTTGTTCATAGTTTGTATTTATTAACATGTATTAAATATCTGCTGGGAGCGCAGAGACACAGAGCCCCACATCAAAGACACAGTAGCCCAGCATCATTTGATGGGCTCCAGCAAACTCCATGCCACCAGCATGCCAGCAGCACTGAGAATGGGCAAGAAGACACTTCTCAGCCTCTATGTGATGAGGTCATTAGAAGATGTCTTATAATTGGGAACGAAATCACCTCAATATTCCCAGTCATAAGTAAAGAGTAACTTACCAATGGTTGTTCCTTGTGAGTGGCCGATATAATATAGTTGTCTCTGTTGAGTGTGCCGCAGAACAAAATCAATTGATGCTGGCAGATCATATTTAGCCATATGATCATAACTTCAATGGAAAAAAAACCCAATAAATTAAGCTAGTTCAATTGAGAAGCTGAAGTACACAGTAAACAACTCAAATTCTATGCTGAAATAGTGTATATTCCATTTAGTTTACCAGGCTCCTATTTTATAGTGATCGTAATGTTTTTAAAATGTTTTAATGTAGTTCAATTCTAATGTTAATTTTAATTTAAACGTATTGTCAAAAGCATGAGAATGAACAAAATTTGGCTACTAGTATTTTAAAAAAATCTAAAATTTTGTCCAAATTTGGTGTCAATTTGTCCAGTGGTTTTTGCGTTCTGTTAATCCCACAAACGAACATTACATTTTGATTTATATAGATCAATTATAAAGAACAACACTCAAACACAAGGGAACTCCAGACAAGAATCAACCAGGGACAGCTAACCACCTCTCAGCAAAGGATTCCCCCAGGCAGTAAGAAGCCAGACCTTGAAACTGTCAGGTTATTAAATGCTCATCAAGGTGGCCAATTGAACCATTTACCCCTAGCTCCAACAGACAAGTGTTCTTTCTCCCACCCTGGACATTCCACATTCCTGGACATTTTCTTAGTTTCCAACAGACCTCACAACCTCTGAGGATGCATGCCATAACTGCAGGTGAAATGCCAGGAGAGAATGCTTCTAGAACATGGCCATACAGCCCAAAAAACCTACAACAACCCATTTAATTTAAATGTTTATTCAAATTGTATATTGTTGTTAAGGTATTGAATTGCTGCCTATCTGTAAGCTGCCTTGAGTCCCCTTTGGGGTCGAGAAAGGCAGGATATAAATATATTAAATAAATAAATATGTTGTACATGTACTATATACACTCACAGGAATCGTAAGGTAAGTCTGGAAAAACTCCTAGGTCTCATGGAGTAGGCTATGAACTCTGTTCAGACATTAAACACAATGTGCTGCACATGTTTCAGAAGAGGAAGTGACAAAAACAAAAAAATAAACTACCTGAATGCCCAAAACTTCCTTGACGTGGGTGAAAGAGAAATGTGTTTTTGGGACCAGCTGGTTCCTCGGCTATTTCCTAGCCAAACATCATAGCCAGCATCAGCTAACATGAAAGCTAGACTGCTATGGGGGAAATTCTGGTACCAGTTGGCTGCATCTACAAGCAAGCCATGTTGGAGAAACACCACTGGCTTTGGACCTGGAAGACATAAAAAATTACTGATTAGGAACACATATCTTCACTCTTTGCATTCTTATATGTGAATAAGAGAGAAGACATTTCAAACTTTTAAACTGTGAGATTACTTGTGTTTTAATACTTCCTTCATGAATTGTTTTGCACCAATTTATCGAAAAAGCGATGCTGCTGCTGTCGCTATTCTTCCTCTTTCCCAGTTCAGGATTTACTATATATACTCGAATATAAGCTGAGTTTTTCAGCCCTTTTATTAGGCTGAAAAAGTCCTCCTCGGCTTATACTTGAGTCAACGTTATTTATTATTTTACCTTATTATTATTATTATTATTATTATTATTATTATTATTAAACTCTTATTATTATTATTAAATTTATTATTTTACTCAATTTTTATTATTACATTTATTTTTATTCTATTTATTATCGTTATTATTACATTTCCATTAATTTACTCTTCTTCTTCTTCTTATTATTATTATTATTACATTTCCATTATTTTACTCTATTATTTTTATTACATGTATTATTTTACTCTATTATTTTTGGAAGGATAAGTAAGCACATTTACATTGAAGAAGGTCAGAATAACGGTCAGACCATCTTATCCTAAATTACAGTTTTATGTAAATATTCAAAAATATTTAACCTACTGATGCCTCAATTAATGTTATTTTATTGGTATCTATTTTTATTTTGAAACTTACAAGTAGCTGCCGCATTTTCCACCCTCGGCTTATACTCGAGTCAAGGTTATTTATTATTTTACTCTGTTGTTGTTGTTGTTGTTGTTGTTGTTGTTGTTATTATTCCATTTATTATTTTACTCTACTATTATTGTTTTTACATTTACATTATTTTACTCTATTATTATTACATTTATTATTTTACTCTAGTATTATTTTTGTTACATTTATTATTTTACTCTATTTTAGAAAAGATACGTAAGCACATTTACATTGAAGAAGGTTAGAATAATGGTTTAATCAGAGTTGGACAGTCTTATCTTAAATTACAGTTTTATGTAAATATTCAAAAACATTTAACCTACTGATGCCTCAATTAATGTAATTTTATTGGTATCTATTTTTATTTTGAAACTTACCAGTAACTGTTGCATTTTCCACCCTCGTCTTATACTCGAGTCAATACATTTTCCCAGTTTTTTGTGGTAAAATTAAGTGCTTATATTTGGGTTGGCTTATACTTATACAGCGCTCCATACAGTCATGCCGGCCACATGACCTTGGAGGTGTCTATGGACAACGCTGGCTCTTCGGCTTAGAAATGGAGATGAGCACCACACCCCAGAGTCAGACATGACTGGACTTAATGTCAGGGGACTACCTTTACCTTTACTTGAGTATATACAGTAAGTAAAAATTCACAGATAGGTAAATTAAAAAGAGAATAAAATAGCAAATTGAAAATCCATCACATTATATAATCAACTACATAACATCAGTAATTACTTTCACAAAATTGTAGGTATCAGTGTTGAAAACAAACAATGACATTCTTGCAAAAGATCGCATGTTTAAGCTATCAAAGAGCAAAGTCCAGCTATTCTTGTCAACTCACTGAATCACAAGGCCATTACACCTTTCTTACCCAGGATGGGCCTGTTTTTCCCTTGGCATTTAAATGTTTGCCTAGACCAGGGGTCCTCAAACTTTTTAAACAGAGGGCCAGGTCACAGTCCTCAAACTATTGGAGGGCCGGATTATAATTTGAAAAAAACATGAATGAATTCCTATGCACACTGCACATAAATTATTTGTAGTGCAAAAAAACACTTAAAACAATACAATAATTAAAATGAAGAACAATTTTAACAAATATAAACTTATTAGTATTTCAATGGGAAGTGTGGACCTGCTTTTGGCTGATGAGATAGGATTGTTGTTATTGTGTGTTTTCAAGTAATTTCAGACATAGGTTGACCCTGAGTGAGGGCTGGGTAAATGACCTTGGAGGGCCGTATCCGGCCCCCGGGCCTTAGTTTGAGGACCAGTGGCCTAGATCATTTAAATCAGTCACGGTGCTAGTCTATTTCCAAACTTAATTGAACTCATTCAGTTCAAGCTGTACTAAATCCATTCAAACAGCCAAATTTAATTCAGAATACAGGTCTGGATCATAGTCTCCATTATTATCCCTGGATTTTAAGAGATAGAGGGGGGAAGGGGGAAGAAGTTTTCTTTTTTAAAAAATGTGGCTTTTCTCTGAATTACAAAAGTAAGATTCCCTGAAGAAGAAAATACTCATTCTTAAATCTATATCTTTATCTTTGTATATAATAAACGTCAGTGTTTATATGCGGAGGAAGGACGGGAGGGAGGTATATGTGGCAGCGTTCTGATTGGCTGCCACTGTGGTACAATTGGCATATGGTCTCTGATTGGCCAGCCTGAAAATTCCAAGATTCTGATTGGCTGCCACTATGGTACAATTTGCATATGGTCTCTGATTGGCCAATCTCAACATTCTGAGGAAGCAGAGGGAATAGCAAAGGGGCCTAAAGCTGTCAGGAATGGTTGGAGTTGAAGTCCAAAACACCTTGTGGCCCCCAACAATGACAGAACAAGACCAAACCTGGCACACAGACCCCCCCCCCCAAGACCCACTCTACATTCTGGTGCAGTTTGAGCGAGGATGGACCATGGATGACGGGACTTGCAGTAGTTTAACTCACTTCCTTAGAGCACTGTGGCCCACACCAATGACGGATCAGGACCAAACTTGGCACACAGAGGCCCAATGGCCCACTTTACAACCTGGTGCGGTTTAGGGCAGGATGGGCCACGAATGATGGGATTTGCAGTACCTTCACCTGATTCACTTCCCACAGAACATTGTAGCCCCTACAAATCACAGACCAGGTCCAAACTTGGCACACAGAGTACTCATGACCCACTCTACATCCTGATGTAGTTCTAGGGGGGATGGACCATGGATGACTCGTGCGCCAACTGCGACCGTACCTCACGAAGGCTGATCTGGCCGGGGCGGTCCATGCCTTGGTCTCCTCTAGATTGGACTACTGTAATGTGCTCTACGTGGGGATGTCCTTGAAAACGGCTCGGAAATTCCAACTGGTTCATTGGGCGGCAGCCAGGTTGTTAACTGGTGCTCCTTACAGAGAGAGGTCAACCCTCCTGTTTAAGGAATTCCACTGGCTGCCGTTCATTTTCTGATCCCAATTTAAGGTGCAGGTGCTTACCTATAAAGCCCTAAACGGTTTGGGACCTGCCTACCTTCGTGACCGCATCTCAGTATATGAACCCACACGATCTCTTCGTTCATCTGGAGAGGCCCTGCTCACGATCCCACCTGCGTCGCAAGCGCGTTTGGTGGGGACGAGAGACAGGGCCTTCTCTGTGGTAGCCCCCCGACTCTGGAACTCTCTCCCCAAGGACATCAGACAAGCCCCAACGTTGGCAGTCTTTAGGAAGAGCTTGAAGACCTGGCTGTTCCAGTGTGCCTTTCCAGAATAGGAAACTCCCAGCATCATGTCCCAAATGCACTTTATTAGAGATTTAAGATTGCACATCGCACCTACCCTAAGATCCTTACATTTCATCTGTCATGTCCAGCACTTTTAAATTTTATTCATTATATCTGGCCCGGCCCCTAGTTTTTAGATGTGTCATGTTGTTGTTGTTTCATTGTTTATTGTTATTGCTTTAATGTTTTATTGGTTTGCTTTATGAGTTTTATTGTTGTATTTGTTATGCTGTTGTTTTATTGTGGGCCTTGGCCTTTGTAAGCCGCACCGAGTCCTTCGGGAGATGTTAGCGGGGTACAAATAAAGTTAATAAATATATATCTATATTCATATATATCTATCTACACATGGAGCCCCCGGTGGCGCAGTGGGTTAAAGCCCTGTGCTGGCAGGATTGAAGACCGACAGGTCGCAGGTTCGAATCCAGGGAGAGGCGGATGAGCTCCCTCTATCAGCTCCAGCTCCTCATGCGGGGACATGAGAGAAGCCTCCCACAAGGATGATAAAACATCAAATCATCTCGGTGTCCCCTGGGCAACGTCCTTGCAGACGGACAATTCTCTCACAACAGGAGCGGTTGCTCCTGACACGACAAAAAAAAAGTAACATAATTCTTACTGAAACCACTGTGACCCTCATCAATGACTAATCAAGACCAAATTGGCACAAAGAGGCCCCATGACCCACTCTACATCCTGCTGCAGTTTGGAGGAGGGTGGACCATGGATGATGGGACTTGCAGTACCTTCACTCCATTATTGAAACCACTGTGAACCTCAACCAATGACTGACCAAGACCAAACTTGGCACACAGAGCCCCCATGACCCACTCTACATCCTGCTGCAGTTTGAAGGAGGATGGACTATGGATGATGGGACTTGCAGTACCTTCACTCACTTACTGAAACCACTGCAACCCTCATCCAATGACTGATAAAGACCAAACTTGGCACACAGAGCCCCCATGACCCATTCTATATCCTGCTGCAGTTTGGAGGAGAGTGGGCCATGGATGATGGGACTTCAAGTTACTTCACTCACTTCCTGAAAACAATGCAACTGTCATCCAATGACCAATAAAGACCAAACTTGGCATATAGAACCTCCATTATCCACTTTCTCTAATAACCCGGGCAGCGCTGGGTCCCCAAGCTAGTACTGTAATATTATAAAGGAAATCACACTATGGATATTTTAGAATAAAACTCCTACTTTCAGTGGTGTCATTTATTCTGCCATGTGGAATTCTGAAGATGGTCAAGACATATCCATCTTCTGTCACAACATCGTAAACCTCACAGGGGTACTGCCAATACTGAATGAGTTCTTTCTGCACAGAGAGAAAGAGAGATAAAAGGAAAAGCAATCTGTTTTTAAAACTTTGAAATCCACAGTAGAATTAATATTCTGGAGCATATTTTTCTGATACTTACAGCATTCAGAGAGGCTTCAGGGTCAACTTTTCCACCCAGAATACTTCCTTGAACTAACATGGAGCCATAAAGCATACCCATAAGGAGAAGAGTTGAGCACATCTTCATTCTGTCTGTAACGATGTATTAGTATAAAATTTATTTCTTAACACAGCTTCATTTTCCAATGATAAGTAATATTACAAAATGAATATAATACAGCAAAATGAAGCACATCTCCCAAACTCAAAGGCAGTGAGTTAAAACAGATAAAGAAAAGTAAATTAACTTCATTTAGACCTGGATGCAAACCAACACTCTAGATAAGAAGGCGCACAGACCAGTCACTTTTAAATACAGGATATGTTTTCAATAGTAAACACAAAGAGGACATAACTTTTTGAGAGCAAAAATAAACAATGGCGTCCTCATAATGCAGAATGCAGAATTTCTTTTCCCTTATCTGTAATGTTGAACTACTACAGAATCCAAAATTATCCATATGAATTGCTGAGATAATGATACCTTTGCTTTCTGATAGTTCCATGTGCACAAACTTGTGTTTCATGAACAAAATAGTTAAAGAAATATTGTATACCATATATACTCGAGTATAAGCCGACCCAAATATAAGCTGAGGTACCTAATTTTACCACAAAAAAACTGGGAAATCTTATTGACTCGAGTATAAGCCGAGGGTGAGAAATGCAGCCACTACTGGTCAATTTCAAAATTAAAACGAGAAATCAGTAAATTATATTCACTGAGGCATCAGTAGGTGAAATGTTTTTGAATATTTACTATATTTCAAAGAAAAATGGTAAACTAGCTCTGTAAGTGGAAAAGGAGGGTCAACAAAAAACAATATGGTATCAATAATTTTATAATAATAAAAAAACTTTATTTGTATCCCACCCTATCTCCGCATGGGGACTCAGGGCGGCTTCCAACATAGTAACAGGAAAGGAGTGCAACTTTCTCTTCTCCCTCGCGTGCCTTTCCTGCCTCCACCACCAAGGAATGTGTCAAAGGGAGCATCTATACTGCTGAATTAATGTAGTTTGACACAATTTTAACTGGCCAATGATAAAGAATCATGGGAGCTGAAGTTTTTAAAGGTCTTTATTTTTCTCTGGCAAAGTGGTGGTGTCTCACCAACTACAGATCCCTGGATTCCATAGAGGTGAGCCATGAAAGTTAAAGGGGTATGAAACTGGATACGTTCTACAGTGTAGAGCCAGCCAAAGAGCTCTATAGAACTACCTTACTGTATAGCAAGTCCAGTACATTTCAGTCTATGTTTCTAGCTTTCTCCAAAACTAAATATAACCAAAAATAGGAAAGGAACAGACATCATTCTAAGTTAAAATAATAATATAAATAATTCATTAACATTTTCATATATACATGTACCTACCGATTTGAAATATGACTGCAGAAATTTCTGAACCTGATAATCTCATTCCATTTGGTGGACAAATATGTAAACTGGCTCAAGGTTTTTTATGTTAGCAGGTGGTCAGGAAAAAAGTGTTTACAAGAGTGGGAGGAGATTAAGAGCTTAATTTAGGCTTCTAGGAGCCAACAACTTTAATTTAAAAATCAACTGTAACTCTTTATTTAAAAGAACCTTCTGGCTCTAAAATGAGCCAAAATAAACCTCTGACACTTTAAGATATGTCTCCAGGGTTTCTTTGTGGCCACAAATCTGTAGGGCCATATTTTGCCTCCCCCGCCATAAGAGCCACTCTAGCAACAAAACACACTTGATCATCTCAAAAAAGGAAATGTATACCTGCAATTTCCATTCAGTTCTACCAGAAATGATATATTATAATTTTGACAGAAATATATAAGCCTCTCCAAAAAAATTTAAGAAAAGGGGATCCATTTCCAGCACTTTTAAGTTCTTGAAGCTCAAAGTTGATGCTTAATCCAGACAAGATTAGAATAAGAAGCATACAACATTTAGTTGTAAGACAGAAGTGGGAATAGGGAGTCAGCCTGTGTGAGATGGGATTACACTCCCCTGAAAACGCAGCTTCTCAGTTTGGGGGTACTCCTGAATTTTGATCTGAAGCCCAGGTATCAGCAGCGACCAGGAGTGCTTGTGCACAGTTCAAACTAGTGCGCCAACTGTGCCTGTTCCTGGAGAAGTCAGACCTGGCCACGGTGGTACATGCCTTGGTTACATCCCAGTTGGATTATTATAATGTGATCTACATGGGACTGCCTTTGAAAAATGCTTGGAAATTTCAGTTGGCCAAAAGAGCAGCAGCCAGACTCCAAACTTGGGCTGGCTACTAGGGTTGTGCCTTCAGGGTAAACCTTGTCCCGTTATGTGTTCCGGCTTTTGTTGGGGATGCTGATCCATTTTTTGGAAGCCTCCCAAAATTAGGAGGATTGTTTTTGGTTTGGGGCCCCATAAAGCAGCCCATTATAGGCGGGGGCTTCCCACATGCTGGTTCCACTTTCTGGTGTGTGCTTCTGATCTTCTTACCTGGCACCTGCTGTTTCTACTCTAGAGTAAGAAGTGTTCAGATATAGGCAGGCACTGGCAGGCATGCATGCTTTCTGGGCCTGCCTGCACGCCATGCCACATGCGCACTCTCCTTGGAAAGCGAGTGCATGTGTGGCGGGGGGTGGGCAGGCATGGAGCACATCTGCAGCTGAGCTTTGGGCCTGCCTACACGCTCCACCATACACACACTCTCTTTCCAAGGTAAGGAGGCAAGTTTGGCTGCAGATGAAAGCAGACTTTCATGTTGAACAGATTTTCATGTGGGGAGGGGGCTTCCTATTTTGTGCTCTTGAAGAATCAGAAGACATGAAAGAAACAGTAGAAATGGTAGGAAAGAATTCCATGCACAACCCCACCAGTGGCTACAGGGAGCATACAAGTCCTCTGTTGTGACAGCTCCACTGACTGCCAACATGTTTCTGAGCACCATTCAAAGTGCTGGTTTTGACCTACAAAGCCCTATATGGCTCCAGTCCAGGTTATCTGAACAACCATATCTCTTTCTATGAACCAGGGAGACATCTATGATCTACTCAGAAGGGCCTTCTCCCAGTCCCTCCACCAGCTCAAGAATGCTTTTTGGGAACATGAGAGAGGGCCTTTTCAGTGGCTGCTCCCTCCCAAGCGATACCAGGATGGACCCAACCCTGCTGGCCTTCTGCAAACAGATCAAGATCCTTTTATGTCTACAGGCATTTGGGAAAGGGGAAAGGGAGGGCTTTGTGGAGATTGTGTGAGATGGGGGGGAATATGAGTTTTAAAGGCCAATTTAGTGTATTTACCATATTTTAATTCTGTTTTTACCACACTGTTATTTTTTAAAACTTTTGTATGGCACCTTTTAAACTTGTTTAGGATGGAGTGTTAGTTGCCTTAAGTCCCACGGGAGATAGGCAGAGTAGAAATAAAGATGATGATGATGATGATGATGATGATGATGATGATGATAAAAATCAGCTGATGACACAAAAGGCAGACTGTGCAAAGAAGCAGATGAAACCATTGATCATATCCTCAGCTGTTGCAAGAAAATCACACAGACGGACTACAAACAGAGGCACAACTCTGTGGTCCAAATGATTCACTGGAACTTATGTCACAAGTACCACCTGCCAGCAGTAAAAAATTGGTGGGATCATAAACCTGCAAAAGTAGTAGAAAATTAACACGCAAAAATACTGTGGAACTCGAATCCAGACTGACAATGTTTTGGAACACAATACACCAGACATCATGATTGTGGAAAAGAAAAAGGTCTGGAATATTGATGTTGCCATATCGAGTGACAGTTGCATTGAGGAAAAACAACAGGAAAACTCAGCTGTTATCAAGACCTCAAAATCGAACTGCAAAGGCATAAACCAGTACAGGTGGTCCCAGTGGTCATTGGCACACTGGGTGCCATGCCAAAAGATCTCAGCCGGCATTTGGAAACAATATTGACAAAATCATGATATGTCAATTGCAAAAGGCCACCTTACTTGGATCTGCACGCATCATTCGAAAATACATCACACAGTCCTAGATGCTTGGGAAGTGTTTGACTTGTGATTTTGTGATATGAAATCCAGCATATAGATCTCATTTGCTGTGTCATACTGTGTTTTTGTCAGTAAAATAATAATAATGGAAATATGTATAGAACTGATGTGAAATTTGGCATGTTAGACAACATCAATTATATTGTGGATGGAAAGTTTCAGGTTCTCAACAGTGCCCCTTGTCCTCTGCTGCCTTCTTTCCTCCAGAAAAACCTCATGATATATATACCCCACACACCCCAGGCCACTGCAACTGGGGTCTTTCTTTTATTAGTGAACAAATGTTCATGAGACCAGAAATGTATATTTGTGTGCTTGCCTCTATTAATACGATTTTCACTTCTTTCAAAATGTGCTCAGTCAGTTGTGCTGGTCATTCTATGGAGTGACTCTTGTCCTCTATCCTAAAGTACTTTCCTGATAGAATACTGGACAAATTGTGCCTCCTAGTAATCTGTGCTTCCCAGTAATCTGGATGGCAGCGGAACCTATAAAAATGCCAACTGATTTCACATTTGACTTCTAAAACTAATAATAAGAGGTTGGAGATATGTATTTTAGTCTTACAGTTAAAATATCAGTTTGAATAGATTCTACTCAATTCTGTTTTCTCAATTTGCAAATATTAATTAATGTTTTTTTAAAAAAATATGTTCCAGTCTGCTCTGTCTAACATCTGTAAAGAGGCCTAGATGACCTTGATAAGAACAGGTCAAAATAGATGCAACTTTTTATAGGAATCTGTTATAGAGCCACTATCTATGTTGTTACACAATCACTGATAATGTTTTCTTTATGCACACCCTTCCAGCTTGGGTAATATTTCTTTAACAAAGCGCCACCAAAATCAATGCAGTTCTTTTTCTCTGAAAGTTTGTTTATACAACAGAATTAAGTACATCTGTCAAGAGACAAGAAATTTCAATTGAGGTTGAAGCCCCTTAATACAGGGTGCAGCAGCATAACTTCTTTTTTTTCAAAACTTAATAAAACCCATTGTATGAATCAGAAAAAAATTGTATAATGTAGACACATACCTAAAGTTTTGTTTTACGTAGTTTTGAAGATCAAATTAGGTAGGTGAGGTCCCCTATTCTCCATACACTGAGTAAACCGAATTCTAGCGTTTGTCGTGACTCTTGCCAGCATGGCAGGCGTTATGTTGGCAATTTCTTCCTGAATGTTGGTCTTCAAATCTTGTAGGGTCCTTGGATGGTTCACATAAACATGGGATTTCAAAAACCCCATAGAAAAAATCACAAGGGGTCAAATCTGGAGAGCGGGCCGGCCACTCCAAGTCCCCCCTAATTGAGATGAGGTGCTCTGGGAAGTGTTCCCTCAAAACATCCATCAATGCTCTTGAAGTGTGAGCAGTTGCACCGTCTCGTTGGAACCAAATGTCCCCTAAGTCCAACCCATCTAGCCATGGGGGAAAAATCATTTAATATGTTTATATACCGGTACAAATTCACTGTCACTGCGACCAGGGACCAATAATTCCAGCTGAGGAAATTTCACACCACACTGTGATTTTAGGTGAATGCAAAAGCCTTTGATGCAATTCTTGAGGGTTGTTGTCAGCTCAGTAGTGCATGCTTTGTTTGTTGATGGATCCACACAAATGAAAATGGACTTCATCACTAAAAAAAACAATAGCATCCTCAGGAATGACTTCGAGAAGAACCTCACACGCATTCCTCCAAGAATTGAAGCCATGTTCAGAAAGTTCCTGCAAAATCGCCATCTTGTAAGGATGGAAATGAAGATCATGAAGAATTCTCTTCACAGAATGATTGGAAAGTCCAAGGGCAGACACATATTTGCGCGCAGAACGCTGTGGTGATTGCAAAATTGAAGCTCTTACTGCCTCAATGTTCGCAATTGATTTAATGGGCCAAGGGACTCCAGTTCTTCGTCTTGTTGCACTTGCAGTTTGTCTGACTGTAGTGGCCCACGTCACAATTGATTTCCCGTCTGGGACAGGGGCCAATGGGGCTAAATTAAAGTGATTCGAAAGACGCGCTGGGTTGTGATCACAGAACATCCGCTCGAAAAGTAGGCCTCAATGGCAAAAGCACACTCCTCACTGTTCCAACTTATAACGGCGACTGAACTGTGTCAGGACAAAACTTTATACTCCTGCCTCTCGAACGAGACCACTAGCGCTCCACTACGTCTTCAACCAACTGAATGGTGCGCATTTTAGAAAAGGAAGTTATGCTTCCTCACCCTGTACTTATGCTCAGTCTTAGGAGTCACATTCAGAATCACCCAGTGGATTCTCAGGGCTCTGCAGGGATTTGGACCCTACACTTGTAGCCAGTGCTCAAATCACTGCACCACACTAGTTCTCCTCTTGATGAAAATAACCCTCAATGACAAAAAACAAGAGTTTTGTTGGGACGTTCTTTTTTTTAA